CTCTCTCTCTCTCTCTCTCTCTCTCTCTCTCTCTCTTATTCCTTATCCCTTGGGCAATCGAATCGAAGCATCTCCTGCGGCATCACGAATCAAACACACCATACCAGTTTCAATAAAGCGGCATTCATTATCATCGACAAACCAGTGCCGCTTTTCCGTCATCTGATTATCGTGGACTCTCCATCTCCACTCTTTACATCGTCAGCAACGCATTGCCAAGACAAGGCGTGCGCGTGCACCAGTATCGCTCGGTCGGTATCTTTAAAGCCACGCCTTCGCCCCGATTCTTGTTGCTCATCCATCATCTCTTGCCACCCCCACCCCCCTTACACTCTACCTTCAACCATCCAACCAAACAACACTCCCTCCCGTACACTCACCAACACCTTCATTCTCTCTTCCATATCGATGAAGCAAGCTTCGCCTGACTCTCAATCATATTTAGATCGCATACGCTCTTGGGCACGATCCAAAGCGCATGGCCCCTCTCCACTCTCCAAAAACTCGAGCCGACCCTCGACTCTTCCCCTAAGCAGTATCCCTTCGCAGCAGCAGCAGCAGAACGGATCTGCCTCGCCCACTCATAATGATACCACAAATGTCTTTCCCTTCCCCTCGAATAACCTGCCAGGCTTTGTGCCCGACTCTTCGAATTCCACAGCCAACAATGTCGCCGACAATACATCCTCCGTCCTGCCAGAACCAGCTCCACCTCCGCAGGTTGATGGGCAGGGGACTGTCGTAGAGGACGAAATGCCCCAAAAGAAGAACGTCCTAAAGAGATTTTGGTTCACCGGCAAAGCCATCGTGCTATCTAGCTATGTAAACCTACTATTGGTATTTGTACCGGTTGGTATTGCATCAAAAGCTGCAAGCCTCCAGCCCGGCATCATTTTTGGAATGAACGCTATTGCTATCATACCTCTAGCAGGTCTACTCAGTCATGCCACCGAAAGTGTGGCCAAGAGGATGGGGGATACTATTGGTGCACTAATGAATGTTACTTTTGGCAACGCAGTAGAGCTTATTATATTGTATGTGCTCCATACCTATGACACATCGAATCCTACTAACCCCCCCAGCATGTATGTCTCCCTCGAGAGATCAAGGCAAGAAAGAGCGAGAAGCCCTCTTAAAGGCATTATCATATCAATCGAGTCCCATATCATCCGGCCCATTTCCTTTGTTTCCATTACCCATGCTCGTCCCTGTGATTTACAAGACTTATGCTCACATTCCAATTCCAATTTTACAGTATTGCACTTTCCAAGGTTCGTACTCTCCTTCAGACTTCCAAACCTGTTCTAACTTGTCAGAATGAAATTCGTATCGTCCAAGCTTCATTGCTCGGCTCGATTCTTTCCAACTTGCTTCTAATCCTAGGCATGTGTTTCCTACTGGGTGGACTACGTTTCCAGGAACAGGTATGCTCTGTACCATTCATGTGTTAATAATTGCTAAAAATTCTAGATCTACAACAGTACTGTTACACAAATGAGTGCATGTCTGCTCAGCTTGAGTGTCATGAGTCTCTTGCTTCCAGTACGTCGCCCCGATGCATTTTGTCAACATAACTAACATTGGCAGACTGCCTTTCATGCATCATTCAAAACCGAAGTGGCGGCAAAAGCTACCAGGATGGTGTTGAAAGTTAGTCGAGGAACCAGTGTGGTAAGTCTTGTCTTCCCTCCAGTGAACTTAGCTGACTGTCCAGGTTCTTCTGCTTGTCTACGGAATGTATCTGCTATTTCAACTAAAGTCCCACGCATACATGTACCAAAGTACACCACAGCACATCATCGACGAAGAATCTGCACCGGGCCCAGTTGCACAATGGATGGAATCATCTGATGACTCCAGTTCATCGAGTTCCGATTCCGATTCCGACGGTTCAAGCGGCTCCAACACCACTGCAAAACGTGTCAAGCGACTCATAAAACATGGAGGAAGAAGACGTCGCAAGTCCAGTGCTGGATCAAGGGATACCCCCGATGCCGATACTCGGCCACCGTCTTTAGGCACCAGTTCCATCAGCCCTGTCAATACTGCTCCCACCGATGAGCCGCAAACGATAGGAAATGCTAGCCATCGCCATAATTTCGCTGAAGACGCTGACGATGAGCACCCTATGCGTAGTCGACGTAATTCTCATGGTAGTAGCCTGATTTTATCCAGAAAGGAACGTAAACGAGAAAAGGAAGGGAAACGTCAAGAGAAGAAAGATCGCAAGAGAGCTCTCAGAAACAAAGGCACAATTACCGAAGGTGTCGTCCAGACCAACGAAAAGACCAATGTCGAGAATGATCCCAATGCTCCCCGCCGCGTCGACTTTGCTGTTATCAGTGAATTGGAAATGCAAGAAGATGACTCGCCGCAGAAACGCGCTCGCACTCTTCGTGGACTCAACCTCCGACCTCAGATGCCAAAGACTTTCTCGCAAAACGTCTTCACGCAGCCAGCACCCACCCCATCTTTTGCACCACCAGCCGGTCCAATTCCTCGTGTTCGTATGGGCATCCGTCGTACCAACTCCTTGCCCGACCGTCTTAACCAAACAACCTCCGGTCCTCCACGTGCAGGAAATGTTGGGGAGCCAGCACATGTCAACAGCCTTCCCGAGAGCGAAAATCCAGTAAAGCTGAATGACGATGACGATGAGAACATCTCACGTACAACTGCTATTTGCCTGCTACTTATCTCAACTGGACTTGTAGCTGTCTGCGCTGAATTCATGGTTGACAGCATCAACGCCGTCGTGGAGGAACAGTCAGGTCTTAGCGAAACGTTCATTGGTCTCATCATTTTGCCCATTGTGGGTAATGCCGCTGAGCACGTGACTGCAGTCACTGTCGCTACCAAGAACAAGATGGATCTGGCAATTGGTGTTGCAGTCGGTTCCTCTATTCAAATTGCCCTCTTCGTCACTCCGTTCATAGTTCTACTTGGTTGGGCTATGGGCAAAGAGATGAGTCTTTACTTTACGCTTTTCGAAACTGTCTCCCTTTTTGTTTCGGCTTTTATCGTCAATTTTCTGGTTCTGGATGGACGCTCGAATTACCTAGAAGGGGCGTTGCTCTGCGCTGCGTATGTCATCATTGCGGTTGCGGCATTTTTCTATCCAAATGAAAGTGAGCAGAGTAATCTTGGAGGAAATGCAGATGCTAGTAGCAAGATGATTCGTAGCTTGGTAGGAGGTGTGATTGGCATCTAGCTGGGGAATTGGGAGAGAACCACGGGAAATTGATCCACGATTGATTCTGAAGGGAGAGTGGAGCGCGTACGTATTACACTCGCTTAGGATTGGTCACGTTCGGGATCTGGGTTTTACAATTAGCTCGCTGGCTGAATTATCCACTCCTTTAATATGCTTATTGCTTGGTACCTATGCTTCTGTGATTAGTGATATGTTGCTTCTAAAGCTGCGTTTTGCTGCCTATGTCAGAAAATAGCAGAGGATTATTTGATATTCCAACATCCGCATCTCAGTTTCTCAATACATGCAAACATATACAACTCTCCTGTGTGAAATGTTAAAAGATGTAGGTTTTTCACGATGCTTACATACGAGTACATCCATCCCCTCTTCCAAACTTTTTTTTTTTCTTCCCCGTTCATTCCCGATATCACTCTCTTCTTTCACTCTTTCATACCAACCAACAAGTCATTCGGTCAGTCACTTTGGAAACTTCAAGCCATTTATCCAACAGTCATTCATCTACTTCTCCAATCCACCCTCCACCCTCCACCCCATCTCCTTCCTCCTCCTACTCACCCCCTCCCTCTCTTTCGAGCAAACAGAAAAACAGCAGATAGATCGCCAGATTTGATATCCTACTCTACTCTACTGTTTAACCCTCCCGTCCACCTTCCCTTCTCTAGTCAAGCCTTCATGTTTAGTCGGTTTGTAATCACCACTTCCACTTCCCCCGCCTCTGTTATGTTACCGGAGGTGTTGGTGGTAGAGCCGCTTTTCTTGCTGACTGCCGTTGGGTCTACTTTGATTGGCATTGTGCAATGTGCGGGTTCTGGATGTGGGGGGAGGAAAAGTGGGAAGGGGAGGAAAAGGACCGACGCGTTTGCCTGGGAGCTGTATTCTTTTAGTGCGGGAGGTTCTGGGGGAGAGGGTTAGTTGGGTGTCTGGGTGTTTGGGGTGGGTGTGTGAGCGAGAGAGGGGTTTGAGGGATGGGAGGAGGGAGGGAGATACCGATTAGTTTATACGTAGACGACATGATGAAAATGTTTGTTTGTGTTTATTTTCTTTATTGTGAAATAGATCGAGAAGTCGTAGTCTTGCTCTTGCTCTTGCTCTTGCTCTTTCCCTTCAGAAGGGAAACGTGCTTCAATATAGCATACATATAGTAGAGAATAGCAAGTCTTTCCTTCATACGTATGCTATGCTATGACAGCGAGTGATTGACATGATGATCTTGCGTTTACGTATATGATAGACTAGAGTAGAGTAGAGTAGAGTGGAAATGATGTAAACGTAACTCGGTACGCGTTAGAATCGGATGCTGGAGGTGGGGGGAGGTTCTAGGAAGGAAGAACTGCGGAGTAAGGTATGTATGTACGTGGAGAGTGAAGGGGATTGTGGAGGGGGGCTGTAGTGTGAGTTACCTCTGTAGCGTTAAGCGGGGCTGTCGAGAAATGCACGACAGTGGCATTTAGCAACACGCCTCGACGCGTGAGCATGTACCGTTTGGTTATTCGCATGCATATGGATTGTGGAGGACTCGTTTGCAGAGAGATGCTAGATCATTATGGATATGGCGGGCATGTATGTGGAGAAAGCTAATGCGTGGTTCTAACTTGATGTTATGCGTCGTTGATATGTGAGCGGCACTATTATAGCCGATCAATCAAATCCAGACGGGGTACGGTAAGTATTATAGAAAACCAGGCGTCTTATACAGATAATGTACGGAGTATGGACTAATAGGCAAAGTACCTAGGTACAACCCTACTCCTTCACCCCACTAAACACATCAAACCAATTAGAAGGCCTCTGCCGCTTCCCATCATAGACTTCGTTCAAGTAACTTTCGGCCTCGTAGCCCCACGTCAGCAATTGCTCTTCCGCGCCCCATTCCCCCATGGCCATAAGTCCAATCGGCACTTTTCCGGTTCCTTGAATGGGGTCAGCGTAGCCAATAGGCACGCTGATTGCGGGGTTCCCGCAGAAATTAGCCAGCCAGACGTATTCCATATTGCGGATTGCTGAATTGCCATCTGTGACGCCGTGCGTGAGGTCTTCGGGTTTGGCGATGGGATATCCAGATTTGGGGGATGTGGGCGTGACGATTAAGAGACCGGGGTGTTTTTGGTAGAGGAAGGCGAGGTGCTGCATGAGTAGCTTTCTCAATTGCTGGGCGAGGATGTAATCTTGTGCCGGGGTTTGTGCTCCTACTGCTAGTAATATTTTCGTGGCCGGGCTGATATCGGAGAGGTAGTTTTCCTTGTCAGATCCCACTACTTGATTTCGTGCTCGGACGGCCAACTCGGCGAGAATGGTGCTACTGTGTGCGAATTGACCTTCGGGGAGGCAAGGGAGCTCTATGTCGATTACTTCATATCCTTGTTTCTGTTGCAGGTAGTCGATAGTCTTGTCACATAGTGCCTTGACGGAGGGGTCTGCGCGGTCATACCATGGCTTGCATATTCCAATTACTTTGGGCTTCGATGGAGAGAGTGAGACTGAAGTCGGTGCTGTGAATAAAGAGCAAGTAGGATCAGATGGATTAGGCACGCCCATGATACGGTACGAGACTTCCAGATCCGCCATGCTAGCTGCAAGGGGGCCAGTCACAGTAACAGTACTTCCTGTATCCTCGAACCGTGAATGACTAGGCTTCAGCCCGTAAACACCACAAAAGCTTGATGGAATCCGAACACTCCCACCTCCATCGGCACCAATGGCAATTGGCACTAAACCAGCAGCAACGGCATATGCAGAGCCACCTGAAGACCCTCCGGTGTAGTACATGTCGTTATGTGGGTTGAGAGGGGTGCCCCAGTTGGGGTTGTTGTTTGTAGTGTCGGCACCAAGTTCATGCATGTTCGTCTTCCCTAATATCACCGCGCCGCCATCCACAAGTTTCTGCACAGGCCACGAAGAAGCTTCTGCTATTTTAAACACGGCATCATTTGCCTTGCGGCCATAGGTGCTGCGGTAGCCAGCGACGTCGCATTCGTCTTTCACCGCTACTGGGACGCCGTCTATGATGTTGAGTGGTTTGCCAGCCTTATAACGCTCGGTGGAAGCTTTGGCAGCTGCGAGAACCATATCGACATTGGTAGAGATAAAACTCGTTGCATGGTGAGATCGAGGCTCTACATCTCGGCGGATGAGGGGCAGCAGAGATTCAGCTACAGCCAGAGGTGTGAGTTCACCAGATAGGTATTTGGCGTGGTAGTCTGTGATAGAGTGGTATCTTCCAGCGATGTCTTTCGGCAGCTTTGGGATAGATTCAAAGTCTAATCCCTTGCTCTCACCTGTTGCATTCTGGTGGTTTCCAATGGGGATGACGGTAGGCTGGAAGTTGAGTTAGATACGTGACGACCTGTGAGGGGGCAATTGAAAACTTACATCCCATCGCTCTGTATATGCATTGAGATCAAGTGTGCGAAGGCGATCGAAGCCAGCATTATTCCATAGGAAATTTTGAACAAAGCCGAGTTTGGATACACTGAAAGTTGTTAGTCGTGTACAGTATGGGTGTAAAAGGTACATGTACGTACAGCCATGCTCCTACTACAAGGAGGGTTCCTCGAATGACTGGATTGGCATCTTCGGCTTTCTTGTATGGGATTGTTGGACCTTTGATGGGCTTGGGGTATCCAAAGAAGCGCTGGTGATGGTCTGGAGACTCAGGCATGGCGGTGAGGTGGGGTGTTGTAGGTGAGGTAAGGATGCCAAGATGTGCTACTGTAGTTCTAATTGTATGTATAAGCATATAAATCTGTGTATGGGAGTTTTATACTAACCTGTGTACGGTAAATATTTTGACTCGAAAGTGAGAATAATCATTAACAAGGATGAAACTTTCATATTCATAGATGTTTACGATTCCCACTGTTACTACCTTATGCTAGTAATATAGATAAGAACAGCTATCCCAAAGCGGACATTCTAGTGATTCTGCCGCTTCTCACCGGCTTCTCACCCCGCGTCGTTCTCACTCATCAATCAGCCTGCTTAGCCCTGCCCAGCCCTGCGCCCCGCCCTCTTGCACAGCCCGCAGAAGGCAAACTCACTACAAGTACAAACATGTCAACTTCCCGCAGAATTGGAGTTTTAACGACTTCATCTACATATAAATTATTCAATAAAGGAATACCGAATACAAAAGATATAGTACGGAATGTGTTTTGGAAGCAAGTTAAAAGGGGAGGATCCTTCGGCGCGTCTGGATAACAACGACCACCTCAATTCTCGCCCAGTCAACGTGGATGCGAAACCCGCAAGAAACAGTTCAGTCAAACTGCCTCAAAACCGCAACTACACTTCTCCCTCGGGCCCTCCTCCATCCCATCAACAGGAATCATACGAATACACACCCCCGTCCGGTCCACCTCCACCTCACCAGCAGGAGTTTGCCCCTCCATCAGGACCTCCCCCTTCCCATAACGATTATACTGCACCGCCAGGCCCTCCACCAACCCAAGAACCATACCACGACTGGCAGACTGCTGTCCCCGATAACTCACTCCTCCCACCTCCACCGTCTCTCTTCTCGGGACATCAAAGCAGCTCGACAAACAATGCCACCGAGCAACAAGCAGAGCAAGGCGAGGCATGGTGTAAAGCCAACCCGATGACACAGCCCGTGATCCTCCCCCAAGCAGCACTCGAGGCCCTAGACAGAGGCGAGATTGGCATCATAAAACCACGAGACTACAAGGGAGAATTGGACCGACCACGCCCAGGTGTTTGGGCTGGCAAGACGAAATCCAGCAGTCCAGACTCGTGCATCACATCCTCAATCCCGCTCTACAGCGTCGACGCACACTCTCCCATGCGGACTGGCTGGAAGAAGACCATATACTACGAAGTCCGCATCAGTCCCCGGAATAGGCGGGAAGTTAGTCTGGCAATGGGTTTTGCAGCGCCTCCGTACCCTAGCTTTCGATTACCTGGCTGGCATCGTGGATGTCTGGCTGTTCATGGCGATGATGGGAGTAAATACATCAATGACCGTTGGGGTGGGAAGGATTTCACTGCTCCTTTTCAACCTGGACAAACACTTGGGATTGGCATGACGTTTACTGCACGAGATATAGACGCACCTCCTTCGTATGGACCCGCCCAAACAACTGAGCAGGTACCCATTGATGTTGAGATCTTCTTTACTAGAGATGGAAGGAAGGATGGCAGCTGGAACCTACATGAGGAGGGAGATGCGGAGCAGGATTTGCCGGTTACGGGGTTGGAGGGGTTTAATGATCTTCATGCGACGGTGGGGACGTTTGAGAATGTGGAATTTGAGATTATCTTCAACCATAAAGAGTGGATGTACCGACTGTAGAGCCGACGAATGACATGAATGGCTTACGAATTATGCTTTTGGGTGGTTTACCGGTTTGGCGTAGGTGCTTTGGGACTCTAGGAGGCGCTTATCTTCTATGGTCAGTTTAAGAGCGAGGGAAGAATTCAAGTCATTGGCGTTGCTTTCACAACTTTCATACCAAAAAATATCTTACCACACTGAGGAACTTGTATCGGGTGTCACATCACATCCAGTCTCGGCGACTTTCAGAATCTCGGTCTTTCCCGCCTTGATACAGTAATTCCCTCACCTCCATTTCTTCCCATGCACTTGCGCATGCTATTTCAGGTACCAAAATAGCAAAAAAAGAAAAAAAAAAATTAACATACAACAGCAGGTATTCGCTGGTGGTCACCCACCCAACTACTAATCTGCCGATCTAAGGCTTGTGTATGGCAGAGCGGACGGGATGCCCAATGCTCCTTAGTCTATGGTCGTATGTATCAGCCTTTCAATTATTTCAATATATATCGACAAGGAATGGGTTGGGGTCATCGATCAAATTGCGGATGTCTTCCCATACGCTCGCAAACCGTCCGCAGCACCGCCCCAAGAAGAGTATGCAATAAAACGCTGGCCTTTAGAAAGCTTATTGTATTTCAGGAACTTTGAGGCTTGGGACGAGAACAAATTAGTTGGTAAACCGAAATCCATTGCATTTGGTGCAGATTTCGACATACGAGAGTACGTCTCCTCATTTCCAATTACACAGAAACTGATTATCGGTGGACGCAGTCAACATATTGATGCCATAGTAGCAGCAGGGCCCGAAACTTGCCAGTCGATATGCCGCTTCACCTGCGGCGTTAGTGATTCGGGCTGTAGAAGCAGTCTTTCTGATGCAGTGGTCTCTAGACTCACAGCTGCTTGTCCCAATCTAGTGCACATAGCCATGGATCTAGCTTGCGCCCTTACTGATGCAGCTCTCTCAGCCATCTGCCGGAACTATCCAAACATCGAATACATCATGATTAACGGGAATGATAAAGGCAAGGGCTATATCGGCGGGACAGCACTTGACACGTTATGATTCGTCTGTAGAATCTTCTAGTACAGGCGATTATATAGAAGTAGAGGAATAAAAAAGTTATAAGGTTGCAAAGTAGTAAGGTAGTAGCTAAGCGAGGTGGCCCAAATGGGGGGGGGGGGACTTATCAGGTGGGGCCCCGAGAAGGGATCTCGCACGGGGGCCGGTACTATGTAACGCACCGGTACCTAGGCACCTAGGTAGGAAACGGCGCGCGAGGCAGGAGCTGCACCGTGAGCTTGAGAAACGGCTCGAGATACTTCGTACTGTTACTACTGTACGCCATAATCCGATCCAGATCGTGTGGACACGGGTCAACCTAGATTCCAGAATCACACTTTGCCATCTGGATTCGATTCAAGTACAACATAGGCCAACGAGATCTGTGAATGTCTAGCCACGCGGCCCGTGACGGCTTTTATCACGGGCCGAGTTGCATAAAACAACAAAGAACAAACAACGCTAGTAATTGCAACTGCTTCTAGAGAACGATTGAACTCAATACCATCGCTCCTTCATCAACGGGCCCCCAAAGTACCACATCACAAGCTGAATATGGCAAACCCAACCCCAAAGCAAGCACTGCCACCGAGCCCTGCCTTAATGGCAGAACTAATGGGGGACGTTTCGGTCCAAATCGCACACAGATCTGTTGTTCTAGCAGACCTCAAGCCAGGTTCCGGCGTGCTTGATAATGCTTGCGGCAATGGTATCGTCACCCTCGCCATTATCGATTCCGAAACCCCCCGCGAAATCATCATTTACGCCGCCGACATAAACCCCAAGATGTGTGAAGTCACCGCGGCTGCTGCTGCCTCGAAAGGCTGGGCTGACTCAGTCAAGACTGCTGCAATGCCAGCCGAAGCCTTAACATTCGACTCCGACTTCTTCTCGCACAGCTTCACAAACTTCCTTCTTAACGCGTCTAAGGAGCCTGGAAAAACCATCAGCGAAATTCACCGCACCGTAAAGCCCGGCGGCACTGCGATAGTCACTACCTGGGCTATAGTTGCTCACATACCTGCAGTCTTAGCGGCGAACGCTGCAACTCGAGGACCTGACGTATTTCATCCTATGAAAAGGGGTAAAGAATGGAATGACCCTGCCCATTTAGTGAAGGCGCTCAAGGAGGGTGGATTTTCAGATGTTAAGATGGAACAGTGTGATAGCTACTTGAAGATATCCGATTTAAGACGATGGTCGCTGATTGCTTGGAGTTTCTTTGGTGGCATAATACCTGGAGGATGGACTGAGGCCGATGAAGGAAAGTTCCAGCAAGCTATAGACATCATTCATAATACCTTGCTGAAGACTCCGGGAATGGAACCCGATAGTAAAGGAGGTGCGAGGTTCAAGATGATTGCGAATATTGCAGTTGCGAAGAAGTAAAATTTGGGATTGTTCCTGATAGGTGATAGGATGAATGGCATGGATTAGCTATGCAAACTTGTCTTTTCTGAAACTGGTGATTTCTAGGGTTTGTTTTCAACCCTCCGCAAGCCCACGCCACTAATGTTACCGCTAAACCACAATAAGTTTGAACAATCTAGAACTCTGTTTTGGGGTGCTCTCTGTTTTGGGTGGCTCTCTAGGACTAGAGCTAACGCAACTATCAATCTAAGTCCAGATTCATCACTACTAGCTATCAAAATAAAAACTTTCGAAATAAATATAGAGGATAAAGGCGAGTCTTGACCCAAGCATTCTCACGCAAGACAAGTGGTAAGAAGCTAAATATGTCTATTCACTACCAGACCCAGATTCAGGCACATCCGCGCTTTTTCAAAAAGATCTTCTAAGACAAATTGGAACAAATTGCCCCTCAACATGAACTGGCGGAGGTCTTCCACTTTCTGATCTCTCCCACGTGATATCGTATTCAAGGAGAAGTTTTGTCATGGCTAACTTCATCTCTCGAACAGCGAAAAACCTTCCGGGGCAGATATGACTTCCGTATCCCCACCTATTATGCAATTTGTCAATACTTTTGCGGGTACTCAACTCAGAAAGCGGGACTTACGCAAGGTTCGTCGTTCCCATTGAAGTCGCTTCCCACCTTTTGTTACTGTCAGCAATCCCATCTTCACCCGAACCCTGTTTAGCGAAGCGAAACCCGTCAAATTCTATAGGTTTGCTAAAAGTATCAGGGTCGTTTTGGATGGCCTTTGCACATGGCGATATCATTTACACAATTTAAGAGGACCTTACGGCTACCATTTTTGGGACTCAAGAGTCGATATCCATTCCGAAACTGACATATCTTGTTTGTAAGGAACATAAAAGTTCCTCTATATAAGATAGACATTAGTTATTGGCGTTGATACCCCAAAGCCTCCAATCTACACACCCGTTCTCAGTATTTTGGGTGAAAACTCCGCCGTTCTTGGCAGTGTCGCTGCTAGTATCACCTGTATCTCAAGGTCAGTTTTATTTTCTATTAAAAGGCTTGAATAAAAGAGACAAGACTTACAGTCATCTATAAGCTTATAGAATACATCTAAACAATCCTGCGTCTTTGGGATGTTCCAAGTTACAGACTTCTTGCAATTGGTCTGATCTTCAGAAAACCCCACATTTGACCAGAGATCCTCAATCGCTGTAGAGCAGCTTGTAGTTTCTTTCGCGTTACTATATATAGTACCTCAGGTCGAATATAAAAGGCTATATATCTATATATATGTTTATGTTTACTTCAGGCTACAGCACCATCTCCTTTTTATATAATATACCACATCTTATCCAGCGAGCACACCCCGTGCCTTCCCCTCTCAGAACGCCTTCATGAGTATAATCAGCGGTGACCCAATCTACTATTATCGCTGCCCTTGATATGATAATATCACATGATATAAAAGCCTAAAAATGAAGTAACTAGTGCTTCATACATAATATTTTAACCTTGAAGGTAGTTATGGCCGACCCAGGTCGCTGATTTTGACAGTTTGAAGATAGAGGAAGTTGTTCTATCAAGTAATAGAGGATTATAATATATTTAATTCAAACCTAATTCATTCATTTCGTGTACTATTAGTCTCCTTGACACCTTCCGGTTTACTCTGCCCTAAATGCACAAGTCGGATATTATCTCCAGTTTCAACACTGTCGCCATCACCAACATCCACCGTATCATTCATATCAAAAGTATTCCCGAGACTTTCAAGATCATGCTTTCCTACTTTACGGCGTCCAGGAAATACTCTTGCGCTAAGCGGTTCTCTCGCGGGGCCAATGTGTAGTGAAGGCGCTAAAGCGTTTGGCGTTGTGGATGATTTGCCACTGCGAGACAACGCTGAACTCTTAATCCGACCTGTTAATTTGCAAAGCTTCTTGAGAAGAGAATGGTATGTGACGAGGAATGCTGCAATCAGGTAGATGTTGGGTTCCACCATGGTCCATATCGGAAGTTGAACAGTCCATGAGCCATCCGTAATAGCATCGCCATGGAAAAACGAATCGAAGGGTATGATAGACGCTACTAGACCCCTAATCATAATACGTACTACTTATTAGCAAATTGGACGCCATATGAACATATATTTAGAAAAGCTTGCTCGCACTTACATCCCCCCCAGTATGAAAGTCATCGTCAGTCCAATCTTCATGTTTTCGAGGTATTCACTTTCCACACCACAGGCATGGGAAGAATCAGAATCGCAACATCTGTGGCGATGTTAGGGAAAGAAGCCCATTCATAAAAAATGGTCTCCTTGTAACAAGATCCTCCCGGAATCTGTCGATCCCAGTTGAAGCTGAAGGGGCGGCATAGGTTCAAAGAAATAATCGAAGTTGAAATCTCTGTTGCAAAAACGATGGCGGCGAGGACATAGCCTATGATGCGAAACATTTTTATGGTAAAAATACGCAGGTAGAAGGCAAGAATAGCCAACTTAGGGATGCCGACTATTAAATATCTGTTCCGGTTCATTCGTGAATCTACGCTAATATTCATGAATGAACCGGAACATATCAATACTGTCCCAAGCCTCGTTGCGATAAGTCTCGTTGGGGTGCGAGTATGCAGTGAATCGCCAGCGCTGCATATTGTAAGCATCTTGCGCAAGCCCAACTATATACTAATTAATTAGTTTGCACGGGCTGTATTGGGAATCTGTATGCTCGCCGTTGTGCGATAAATAACGGTTCTGTTTGAAAGCATAAAAAGAGAAGAAGAATGCATTAATTCCAAATGAGATATTGAAGTATGGGACCGATTAGGACTTGTTTGACTTGAGGAGAATTATTTTCCAAAAGAGAATGTAAAAGAAGTAATAGTTGGTTTATTAATGCATCCCCAAGGAACCTTTCGGAAGACAGTTGATCTGTTGCTCCCTCCTCTCACATCTCAGCTATATTAATTAGTATGTAGCGCATTCTCGGACGCTACTAGTTTTGGCCAACCGAGTTGCGTTACATAGCATGTACTCTTCTGCATATCGAGTAATATGGCTCTGTTGGTCTCCAACCGGATAAACCGCGTGTCCTGCAACATGTCGCAAATGGATAAAGCGATGCATATTCACACACCCTTATTGCTAGGATCCGAGCAGGCTACAGCATGTCATCCTTCGAGCTGATCAGTTATCAAAGCTCAACCAACACCCTCACCTCATAACTTTTAGAATCTCGAGGTGTTTAGTACTACACCTGGTCGACGATAACAAATATGGACACCGACCATCAACATCTCAAAAGTCGGCAAGTTAGTTTTCAGCTCATCTGTCCACTACATCACCAGCGCCCCTACAGCTTGCCAATCTCTGCTAGTACTACTGTCCAAGGCGAAACGCCCCCTTTTCACAATGCGGCAGTTGTAAATAATCTCCCCACCGGCCCTGAAAGTGGCGTTCACACCGTGATGGATCTTGGGCGAAGAGCCGCGACGAAGTTTGGAGAAAACCCGGCCATTGGATTTCGTACTGAAATTCGGACACATCTCAGGGAAGGGCCTGAAGATGCCAAGGGTGCCAAGAAACAGCTTATTACCCCAGAATTAAGCTCATATACGTTCTTATCTTACATCGAATATGAGAAATTTGTCACAAACATTGGCTCTGGTCTAGTCAAGGCTGGCTTGCTTCCCTCCCGTGACAAGATTTGCATGTGGGCACAAACCAGGTCAGTTTCTTTTATCTCCACACGGTGAGGTGACTGCCAACCTTATCCCTACATGTTGGTGGCTTCCGTCCTCACTTGCAATCTGATCAACAAACTGGAAATCCAACTCTTATGTCGATTTCTGTTGATACGCAAGATAAGTAGTAGTGAAGTGATCACGGACCTATAATACCAACAGTTACGAGTAACAAAAAGTACCGTTGAAACAATAGGTGAGATCGCAATTTGCTCAACCTGTTTTGCCAACAATGTCGAACGCCTCGGAAGATACCATTGAAACCTGGCCACAAACCGGTCTGGGCATAGAGTCTCAAGATAATAAGCCCTTGAAAACGGTTAAAGCGTCCGGTGGTGTCGATGCCCTTGAAAACGGAGAGATTTATGTGAGCTGGGACGGGCCTGAAGATCCAGCGAATCCTGGAAACTGGTGTCTATCGAAGAAAAGCCGCCATATCCTTCTAGTGGCTCTGATAACTTTTCTGACGTACTAGCCCTCTCTAAGGTTCTTAACGAAGTTTTCATTTGCTAATTTTAATGGACCTTTTGCTTCTTCGATGGTGGCACCTGCAATCCCTCAGTTAAAATCTCAGCTTCATTTCGAAAACAATATTCTAGGTTCATTTATCGTATCGATTTATCTTCTTGGTTATGTGTTTAGTCCTCTTGTCGTTGCCCCTTTATCAGAGATGTACGGCCGTGTTCCTATCTATCATTTCTGCAGCTTTGGCTTAGGCGTCACTGGCTTGACATATCTGGGTATGGAGCCCATGTGCACTCAACAACTAGGTCCCCTAACTTTCTATAGGACTTGGGGTTGGTTGTTCCATCGGCATGATTGGCTTCGGCTTGGCATCTGATCGAATCATGAAGTCTATGACTGCAAAAGGTAAACCAAACAAACCTGAATACAGGCTGATAACTATGATCCCTGGAGCTGTTCTTTTACCAATTGGACTTCTCTGGTATGAATGGACAGCTGAGAAGGGGGTGTTTTGGCTAGGTATTTTTATCTCTTCTCATGAAAACCACAGCCTGTGCATTAGGATTGTTATTTCACAAAAAGAATCTTTTTGGCTAATGATTAACAGTACCAATAATCGGCACGGGGATTGCAGGATGCGGTATAATAACTATATGGATATCCATACAAGTTTATCTCGTCGATGCTTTCACGATGTATGCCGTCTCTGCCGTGGCCGCGAATACTATTATACGCTCTGTGTTTGGAGCATTTCTGCCCTTGGCAGGACAGCCTCTCTATAATGCGCTAGGTCTGGGCTGGGGGAATACATTGCTTGCTTTCATTGCATTGGCCATGATCCCAATACCGTGGGTCTTTTTGCGGTATGGAGAAATTATGAGGCAAAGATGGGCTCTAGTGTTATAATAAGTTTAGTATTATTTACACTAAATAATCTATATACACTATCAGAACTTCCCGGAGTCGTCCGAAATTCACGTACCGCAGTTCTACTGATTCTCATTTGATTTCTTTATTTTTTAGGCTGATGTAATCCGGATTATTACGGCCTATAGGCCCACTTGTCATGGTATCAACATGTGTGAATGTGTCACAGTGAGTGTTACATGCGCACCACCTATAAACTATATATATTTAGCTGTTCCCTAAGAACACCTTCATTTGTTGCGTTTGTCTTATTTACTGAATACAAGACCTTGAGCTGTACTCGTCCCTTAATATTACAAACGCCAAATACCTTTCGCAATAGCTTAGTAGACCTTGATCTCTAGCTAATTGCCTTCACAAAAAAACCTATAGCCAACGCAATTGAAACAACGATACCTCCGCAAAAACAACGCTGCATTGACTCCACCACATAGTCATGTCCAAAATCCCTATCTACACCTACCTGCAGGCAGCAGAATTTGATGCTGGAGGCGAAGCAATCGATGCTTATAGTCTCCTTCTTGACTATGTCACCTTTCCTGACGACCACAAAACCCCCGCTCTTGACAAGCTCACCAATATTCATTCCATATTCGCATATGCTACGGAGAACGCAGAGAACAGAAAGGAGCTATTTAGAGACATCTATACTACTCTCGCAGCATACCGCGCATTTCCCCAAATCGCGCAAACCTGCGCTGGACTTGAGGACCAGATTACGAGCCTCAATAAGCAACTAGCTCAGTCAGAAAATGCTCATTTGGACAAGAATACTACGCAGATGGAACAGAAGCGTGATTTGGAAGAGAGACTGGCTTTCCAGGAAGAAGCGTTCCGCAAATCACCTAGACCCACAGAAGTTTGCTGGCAACCCCGCGAACTTGAAGCAATTCTTGCAGGAGTTAAAGCTTAAGCTTAGACGTAATGCTGATCACTTTGAGGATGAACAAGACCGCATGGATTACTACTTCTCTATGCTTGACGGGAAGGCCCCCTTTAGACCCTAACACGCTTTATCTTCACAATATTATAATATACTTCTCTATTACATGACATTAGTTCAAAATTATATTCTATAAGGAAAAGTCTTTTGTATCTGGACCAAATCTTTTCTGGATTGTCAGTTTACCCCTATCTATATGTAGCCATTCCGGCCCTTGCACTCTGTTCAGAATACCACTATACCTGGTACTCTCTCTCGCGCTTATTTGCCACCTCTTCACTCTCATGAGTCTCTCTCGTGGATGCAGGTGGGCTGGCGCTCGCTTCATTTTGGCGAGTCTTGGGTGGCGGAAACCGCCATCCGTTCGACAATCATTCGATCTTAGCAGGAAGCAAGGCGTAGAGGCAGAAGCAGCCGCTGTCAATATGACGGTGGCGTGGTTTCGGCATCTTGGAATGGTTGCCAGTAAGTGTGTTGGGAGAGGTCTGGGATTTATAGACCAAACTGTCGTCCTGTTGTGGACCAAGAACCGCAAAAAGGTTCATTCACAACTAAAACAAACTTGAAATCACTCACATAAACAGGTTTTGGGGCAAATGTTGTTGCTTTCCTTTTTGCTTTTGCTCTCCGTTTCCTGAAAGTGGTACCGAATAGATAAAGATACACGCCAGTGAACAAATTCGAATAAGAGACCATAGGCACGCCGCTGGGCATCGTTATTCTGGAACAAATTCTCGAAATGCAATGAACTTGTATCAATGAACGAAGGAATTCAAATATGATTCATAGAGTAGTAAATATGCGGTAATAAACAATAAGATGCACTATCCTCCTTGGAAAACTACGTTGGTCTTCTCATTCTATTGTGCCCCTCATAATACAGGTATCCGGATCAAAACTCCTCGACACCGCTTTTCCATTTCAATCGCCTGCCCACACGAACGCCCCTTTATACAAAGCCAGCCCAAAACTCGTAGTACCCCGCAGCCTGTCCCGCATATCTGGGAGAGGAGTGATTGCCGGAAGCATTAAAAGGTTTTTGATACACAGTATCTATCCCATTTTCCATTGCCTTAACTTTCAACCGTAATCTCAGGCAAATCCTCCGCTTCAATTTCCAACCCAAAGCGCTCATCGAGAGAATTTTCATCAATCGACCCCTCAAAACTCGTCACCCCCCACAATCTCTTCAAGAACGGAATACGCGCCCGAACAACATCCTCTTTCGTCCCAACCTTCCACCACCACACACGAACACCATCAGGCAACCACTTCACAGCATATTTCTCTCCCGGATTCAAATCCTTCAACTTGGCCCCACACAAAAACATGCTCGATAGATCATGGCCACGAGTGAAATCGGCGATGGCGATTTCTGCCTCGACGGAAGTGTTAGGGTACAGAGTAACCAGATTTTCGTCGGTTGTGACTGTTATGGGGCCCGGGCGATTTACTTGTATGATTGTGCGCCTGGGCGCAACGCCGTTGCTGCACTGGACGACATAGAATGAAGACGAGAGGCTTGTCTGACAAGCAGCCAGGCAGCTGTCTCGCCGGTATATCGTGATTGGTCCTGGCGAATTCTCGAGGCGCAGACTTAGTTTGAGAATGACTGGCTCTTGTGGCAGTTTGGATAAAGAAAGAGTAGAGTGGGAGATGGTTGCAGAGAATTTTATGGTGCGGGTTTGTGGGACCATTCTGAAATGTAGGTGCTTGGGAATTTGGCTGGTGGAGGACTTTGAGGAGGGAAAGTTTGTCGAGAGATTTGGTGGTGAGTTGACTTTTTGGAGAAGGCAAGTGATCGGGGGGGTGGCTGGTTGATATTCATAAGCGCAGACCCTTGCTTGAGGCTGTCAGGGGGGCGCAGGCGCCAACTCTGTCGACTATTGGCGAAAACTATAAATACACCTTAAATACAGGCATCTATTTTAATTCACAGAGCAACGTTGCTAATTATATATAAGCTTATGAGACGCTTCTGTGAAGAGTAACAATAAAACGGGGGTTACTATCTTTCTCTTGTGTTTACAGCCGTCTCTACCTGAAAATTACCTTACGCGAAAGCCCCCCCTGAAAGAATCCATGCCATGATACTTCTATCAAAAATGCTTCGGATTTACTTTCAATTGGATCATGTATCTGTGTCTTGTTTTCTTCGCATCTTTGAACTTTCTCACCTTTTCGAATGAAGACGGCCGTAGAGCATTTCGGGAATGAACGATTCTACGGCACGGAGATTTATTATGTCTGCTCCACCAAATAAGATTCCCCGGTTTGGCCGCTACCAAAGCTTCTTTATAGACAAGCTTTCTCGCTAAAAAATGAAATAAGGCTTAAAATAACCCCCTTTCACAGGATACCAGAGCGCAGACCAAAAATCCCCAAAAAAGGAAGCCGCTGTAAAGCATAGGAGGGAGAGTTATCAAGTAATTGGATTAATTCCCAGCGATAATCGCATTAATTCACCGCAATGATTTCTTTGATACAATAATAGCTAGATAAATCCGTCCCAAATAGTATCCTACAGAAATTGATATATTACATGCTGGTTCTAAGCTGGCGGTGCGTCTACACCTGAAAGATACTTGTTATCCGCAGGCGCTCCAAAACCATGACCACATATGATAGACCAATAAGTTTCCTACTTTTCATTAGTCTAATGAAGAGGTTCAAAGAGGCGGATCAAGACTTACAGTGACAAACCAACTATAGTTATCTGCATTGATGACCGTACGTCCTGCCGTGGCAGCATTCGTCAACAATTGTCTTGTAGTCTGAGGTCCATACCCAAAATCTCCAATAAATTGGTTAGGGGACAGTGCCAAATATGCTGCTACACTAGCGTCGGTGCCGGCGAACAACGGTGCAACTGGCGCTTGACCGATATCTACAGAATGACTACAACGAACGTTTCGTTAGAAATTTTGTTTGATTTTGAGGTGAGGGGAAGAAGAATGTAGACATAACATACGCTAATTCATGGACAAGAAGACTGCCTCCTAAGGTCTGCATTTTCTGGGAGACGGTAGCATCTAACGACGCACAGAAGCTGTTGGGATTTGCAGGCAAATCAGGATACGCATACGCGTTCGAAGGCGAGGTGCAAAAGTGCAGTACGGTGTTCCCCGTTAAGGTTCCCGGTGCCGTCGGAGAGAACTGCTGCGAGTTGTATGCAATGACTCCCTTGCCGTTCGTGCCTCCCGTAGAGCAAGTTTTCTGCGCGTTGTCGGCGGCGTCCACTTGGAAGGTAGCCAGAATGTCGGATCCGGTAGACGCGTCCGTGGTTGCTGGAGTTACCATATTTGAAAGCACTTGGCGAACAATGGGGTAATGAGTTGGTGCGAAGTATTTCGAAATGACTGCGTTGTACATTTGCGTGTTTGTCGCCGCGTTCGACAGAACGGTGTTTACCACTGTAGCCATGTCTTTGAAGGCTTGCTGGAGCCGGACTTTGTTTGGGTCGTTTGCCGCAAACCCGCCCCAAATGGGTTCGGCACGTTTGAGAACTTGAGCGGGATTATCAGAAGTTCGTCTAGCACAATGAATGTTAGTTTAATGCATTGCTTTGCATGATGTGTCAAGAGAGTAGATTGCGTATACTTACTTGCTGGGTGGAGGGTGTCCTGGATGTCCGTGAACACTCAGGGAAAACGCAAAGAGAGACAGGCAAGAAGCCCATTTTAAAGAAACCATGATGTTCAAAGAGTTGAAGAGCCGGGTAAGTTTACCTAGAGAACATAAGAATATTAGCCAAGAATCTGGATGATAGACCAAGTAAAAGTCGAGGATGTGGCGGGAGAGCTCTGCGGAGCAAACTTTCGGATGCCACTTACAACGATGCAACTGAAAAGAATGGAAGTTCGAGATGTAAAATTGAAATCTCTATGAACTAAATGAGCGTGATAATGATTGACAGTTTTGAAGAAGTGCAATCGAAAGGAAAGTCTAAAAGATTGAACGTTGTGGAAAATAATACAAACTTTGCGACGGTGCATTGGACGAGGAAATACAAAGCTTTATGACTTGACAAGAAGTTCTGTATCTCAAGTTTCCCAGCACAGGATTCAGACGCCGTGATCAAACAAATCTGACAGCATTTCCAAAGGATTTGCAAAGCCTCCACTTCATCTCTAGACTTTAGGGGCAGGACATCAGCAAACCTGAATATTTTTCTTCTTCTTCTTATTTTGTGCCACCCAGCCGCCTCGGTGGTTGACGAATAGACTCACCAGGCGGGGGCTTGCGCGCGTGGCTACAGGGTATCTGTACCCTATTTGTGGTATGTTATTTTTATTCGCGAATCTGTACTTACGCGGCTCAGAAGGCCGGGCCTCACGAGGGGCTGAGAAATAAGCATGTCAGCAGACTCATGGGCCATAGAAGAGCTGCGAAACACGCGCGCGGCGTAGAACCTTTCTTTCTTGTGCCTCAAAACAACGACCGTGGGGGCTTTACCTGCAGCGGCTGTATGCCCCAATTACCCCATAGTATTACCGCCATTTACTATATTTCTAGGTAGTGCTGATGCTCCTTCAGAAATCTGCAACACTTACCCTCAACTCTGAAGGCTTTATCGTGGTGGCGATGCTCTGGAAAGTGTGCTTTACTAGCAAAGGTTTTAAAAATAACATCTTTATCTCGGTCGAATTCTTACGCCTCAAGAAAACATGATCAATGGCCTATTTCCAGAAGAATCTGATGATCCTTCAGAAATCCGCCTTTTTTGGACCCAACATTGGGCTATAAGTTAATGGTGAGACTTGGGAGAGTGTAGGTGAGGCTTCAAAACACTATATCTACCTTCTTGGTCCCCTCTATTTACCTGTCTTGTCATCAGCATCGTTCCATTACATTTCAGTCTCTTTTTTATAAGGACTACTCTCCTTTGACTTATCGGAAATATACCACATTCATTGAAAGCATATCAGTCATTACTTCGAGTTTAAAGACTTTCATATACCTCTTCTCAAAATCCTGTTTCCAACCATGATTTTCAAGTATATTTTCCCCGCTACTCTTCTTGCATCGGGAGTCCTTGGAGAAGCCGAATTCGTTACGGTAACAAAAGTTCAATCTCTTGTTGTTCGCGATACAGAACCCTGCAACAAAACTCCAGCCGGCGGAATACCCCCCTTCTGTATGACAGATTTAGGTACTTTCAATCCGAGCGCCACATACCAAGGTACCGGCAGAACAACGTCGTCGGCAGCAATAACGGCACCGGCACCATCATGTTCTCTGCACGAAGCAGACCCCGACGAAGGCGTAGACAAGGCTTTCTGCTTGTGCAACTCCTCAACTCTCCCCATCCTCTCAGTTGATCTGGCAACTGCGACTGGCCCAGACGCAAGTTGTGCGTACACGACAATGCCCGGCGCATCAGCAACAATTACTACAGACACAGCACTGGGCCCGGCCTCGACAAACTCAGCATTGTGCCAAGTATGCTCCCTGGCAGTTGTGAACGAAGACTCCTGCACCACCATTCCCAACTGCCTACCTCAAGCAGCACAAGCTTCAGTTCAAGCCGGCTCGTCGCCCGTCCACGTCGGGACGCTCACCGGAACAGCTCTATACACGAGTGTCTCAAGTGCACTTGAGAAGCTCTGCCCTCCCGTCACACAAACAAACTCCGCAACCAAGTGCTCAGAAACCGACACGATCAAGATCGGGAACATCCAAGCGGTAGAAGACGAGAGTCTGACGACCGGCGAGCTGGACGTCACCGTCAAGGATAGTTCATACAATGCTACTTCTCTCCGCGACGCCATGATCCAGTCCGCTGCACTCACGTTCCAGAATAGCGCTACAGGCAAGAATTGCTATAATGCTACTTATACGACGGAGGAGGCAAAGAAGCGGTCGAATTTGGATTGGTTCAAGGATTCTGTAGGACTTGCGAGCCGTGACCACCCGTATCCGGTGCAAGAGACTATCCAACTCTGCAATGCTGGTGATTTTGCTGGTGTGCAGTATTTCAGCCAGTTCTGGCGGACAGCTCCTCAGCCCGGCGCGACGGATTATCTTGATGCCAACATCGCATTTGAATCCAGTGGTTCGGACTTTTGGTGTGAGTTTTTGGCAGATTTGATGGATGAGTTGGTCGTGGTTGCGCCGGAATTTGCGGTTGAGGATGTGGAGCTTGGAGAGGAGATTCGAGCGATATGTGCGGGGGATTTCAGCACAATCACTGGGTAGTGAGTGGGGTTGCTCTACGAGTTCTTGAAATAAATGGATATAGGGGGGCGTTGAATAGGTGCATTTTCGGGGTTTTAAGAGCATCCAGATATAGAGGTCGAGATTGCAGAAAATAGGAGCACAACGATCGGGCTCAACTGCGGGCTCATGAAGAACATGTACTTTGTATGATATATAATCTGTCAATAAAGGCATCAACGGCCTGAAGGAGAAAATTGACACTAATGTATATGGGGCATACGATGCTTTTATTTACTTCTAACTTTGCTTCTTTGGTTATGGCGGATGACATTTGACAATCCCACATCAACCTTTTTGGAACACAGGGACATGATTCTACGGCGGTGTATAATATCTCAAAGGTAACGGATGTCTCCGCGTCAAATGTATCCAACTAAATGAATAGACTGCCTTGAATCGTTCGGGGAAGGTAGGAAAAGAACAGCGCAGAACCAGACAAATGACCAACTAACCAATCCCAAAAGAGCTCGAACAGGTACTTCGACCCTAAGGTCTCCCGGTTCTGCTCATCGACCCTATTGAGACTTCAGACAGTGTTGCTAGAATGTAAATTCTTCAACCTCGCGTTTGCATTCAGAAGCTTACTGGTGGGGTTCTTTGCTGGCTCAAAGCCATTAGGTCAACCTGTGCCCCATTGTATGTGGACTATAACGGCAATAAGTTTCCTTGGCAGGCGTACCAGATAGACATTTCTCGTAATAGTATCGTGAAGAGTGATCCTTCTGGAAATATTCAAGTTTCTTTAGTGGATTAGTCTTATTAAATAGAAATTTGCCTCTTTCTTTTCCGCATCTGGACATGTGATCTGCTCATTGTTCTTTCATAATACGGATTTTACTTCCTGGTTTTAATTATAGATAAAAAATGTTTTACTCTCTATTTCGTAAGAATTTGCGACCGGGAGTACATAGAAGGTAAAGTAACCGCCCTGTAAAAACGAGCTTATATATAGTAGGACACGAAATCTCCACGTAAGTTCAATGGGTTGCAGGTACGAATTGATTACTTCTTTTAATCAACTTGTCACGATAATCCATTCTACCTGCCCCATGACTATAGTAGATCATCACGACTAAGGTAAGCTAAATAGGTGCTAAATAGACGAACTGCCTAATGCGGCAGTTGTCACCATAGCGAGATCGAATGGCGTAGCGTGCGATCGGCACTACCCCTAACTACTACTAGCAGGCGAATAAGGTTAAAGTCATTAAGCAGTATGTGAGGCTCAACAACCCATCGAGAATAGAAGGTAGCACAATTTAAGCGTGACTTTCCCCACATGTGACAAGCTGCAAGAAGCAACTATGGAATACAGAATCAATCTTTTGATCGTCACCTTCCCTTTCCCCAGATGTGTGCCACCTAAGATAAGCAACGACTGGCCACATGGATTGAAGAATCAAGCTTTTGATCGTCACCTTCCATTTCCGAGAATCTAAGCGGGAAAATTGACTATGAACATCATAGGTAGGTATGATTAGGTGACTAGAATTCTTTACGGACAGGCCTCATATAAGTAAGACAGCCTTTCTTTCCCCTCATCTAGTATCCTCACTCTCTACTCTCAGACGTTCGCTTCCCCACCAGTTCTTTTATCTCATCCAACACCATGTTCTACGCTGCCCTTCTTACTGCTGCCGTCGCAGTCTCGGCATCGCCTGTTGAGCGGCGCCAGGCCAAGACGGCCGTTCTCCCGTTGACGCATGTCTCCAATGTCACGTCAATCAAGAATATCGTCAGCAAAGGCCAGGCCCGCATGAATCATATCAATGGCATCGAGACAGTCAGCGCCTCTCCTGCTGTGAGCTCTGGCACTGTGACAAACGAAGACGTTAGCTATGTAGCCCCGGTCTCGATCGGTGGTAAGACGTGGCAGCTCATCGTTGACACTGGATGTACGTCGCTTAGTTGAGACCTTCAAGATCCTGTGAACGCTCTACTAACTTGAGACGTTGTTAAGCTTCAAACACCTGGTGTGGTGCCCAGGACTCGTGCGAGAAGACTTCCACCGGCAAGTCTACAGGTGACAGTGTGTCAGTCAGCTACGGAAGCGGCTCCTTTTCTGGCACCGAGTATAAAGACAAAGTTAGCTTTGGAGGCCTCAGTGTGGCATCTCAATCGATTGGCGCTGCCTCTACAGCCACGGGCTTTACCGGCGTGGATGGCATTATTGGTTTTGGTCCAGTTGATCTTACGGCGGATACCGTCGATGGCGTCGATAGTGTTCCAACTTTCCTGGACAACCTATACAGCGCTGGCTCTATCGACACCGAGGTCCTCGGTGTCTATTTCAGTCCGGAATCTGGAAGCGATACTGATGATGCCAACGGCGAGTTGACCCTCGGTGGCACTGATAGTTCAAAGTACACTGGCTCCCTCACCTACCACCCGAAGCTGACGAGCGGGGATGCTTCGGAGTACTGGGGTATCTCCATCGCATCATTTACGTATGGGTCAACGACCCTCGCATCGTCTGCCTCTGGAATTGTTGACACTGGAACCACACTGATCTACATCCCGACCTCGGCCTACAACAAGTTCCTTAGCGCCACCGGTGGCAAGACCGATAGCTCATCTGGCCTTGCGTTGTTTACTACAAAGCCGACCTCGAACTTCAGTATCAAGTTTGGGTCGACCACTTACGTGCTTACGCCAGCGCAGTATTTGGTCCCGACCGCCCAGTATACCTACTACGGCCTAACTTCCGGCAAGTACTATGCCTGGATCAACGATGGTGGTGACTCAGGTGTGGATACTATTATTGGCCAGAAGTTCTTGGAGCACTACTACTCTGTCTTTGATACTACCAACTCCCGCATCGGCTTCGCTACCGCCGCGTAAGGCTGTATTGACAAAGCTTCGTATGTGACTAGGGCTGGCTTTGATATCTAGCATGCAGCGAATCTGTATTTAGTTAATATTACTTCAAATATATTAATTAACAGCAGATACTTATCTAATTCAGTGGCGCCATGTATAGAATCTTATGCCCGTAGGTATAGTATAGTTGTACGTCGGAAAATGACCACTGCGGACCCCTGAGCTAGACCAGATTAGGCATCTGTTTATGCGGCTAATGCCGGTAGATGATAATACTCCATAATATGTGCAGCGATCCCTCGGCATTAATCTCTTCCTCGTGCTCCTTATCTATTAACTATATCCCACGCGATTCTACAGTACGGCGTTAATCATAGCCGTACTAGCTAACGCATCTATATCTAAGGCACAGGCCATAAGTATTGTCACCAGGTCTCCTGTCCTTGAGGTATTGATTGGCTGCAGCCTCGCTAACTATAAGATCACCAATACTTATAGCCTGTACCTCCGTAAAAGAAGGCCGCGGGGGAAGTTGCCAGCGCATTTTAGAGGGAGGGTAGAGGAAGTATGGTATGCTATGGTAAGTGGAGAATGGACTGAACGGACCCAGAATCTTAAAATTACCTCGCTAATTATATGTGAACAGGGGTGTAGAGACTTGTGTGAATGCCACGTGATACGTGACTTTTCCACCTATTGAAATCAAAACAATATTATATCTTGCTTATAAATAGTACTATCTTTGAAAGCATCTTGCCAAGCTGTTAAGAAATCGAGCAGCTAGCAGCCAAAGCAGTAATTAGAAGCCAGAGATAGAAGCGAGAGCCAAAGGAGCACCCCGCACCTAAACACTACGTTATTCTTTCCTCTTGAGCTCCGGTATATAGCAATTACACCTTTCAAGCTGTGTAGGTCGTAGTCGAGCCACCTGGTTATCGCCCAGCAGGAGAAGCCCCGGACGAAGATGAACTTAGTCTCTCAAGCTCCTTACCAAAGACGTCTCTCTCTCTCATACACAGACCATAGTTTGATTTATTTATTGTTAACTACCTATACTTTGATTTAAAAGGTATACTAAACACTTCTCAGTCATCAATACCAGCCCATTCACTCTCCTCACCAGCGACCTGCTCCTCGCCCACAGCATTCCCAGCCTCCTTAGCCCTTCTCTGACTTCCTTGAATTGCCCCTTTCCGATTATGTTCCAAGCGCCGCTCATACCCGCTCTTAGTGCTAATCTGCATCCTCCCATTTCCGTTTCCCTTGCCCTCATTGCCTTTCCCCTTCTCAAGCCCACCCCGCCTAGCTTCAACGCCATGCATCTTCAAGCGCTTCTTCTCCTCCTTACTCGGCTTAGGCAGGGCATCAAGCAACCACTGCTTCTCTCCCACCTCCTTCCCAGCAGCTTTCTCGCTCGCCGCAATGATATTCGCTACATCGCGTACATAAGCGATATCCTCCTTTGTGTAGAACGTCACGGCAACACCACCACCTCGTCCAGCTCTGCCAGTACGTCCTACGCGGTGGATGTACGCGGCGCCGGAATTGGGGACATCGTAATTGACGACTCCATTGACGCCGCGGAAGTCCACGCCGCGAGATAAGATGTCCGTGGTGATCAGGATCCAGATCTCGCCAGCGCGGAACCTGGACATGATGGAGCTGCGGGCTGTGTCTGAGAGAGAGGAGTGCAGGACTGCTATGCGTGAGGAGCCGCCTGCTGAAGCTGGGATGTCGTATAAGAGTTCGGAGTGCAAGGCTGTGGCGCGGGGGATGGTTTGGGTGAAGACTAGGAAAGGGGGGGCGTAGAGAAGTGGTGTCGGAGGACGTGGGGTGTAAGAGTTGGCGGAGAGCTAGGAGCTTGCCAGGTTCAGTGGCGGCGTAGATTAGTTTGTGGGTTATATTGGGGATGGCGGAGTCTTTGAGGCCAACTACTAGGCGGATGATGGGGGAAGTGGTGGGAAGATCGAGTTTTGACCGGCGGGAGGTGATGGTTGATGATGCCAGGGTCTCTATGTTTGAGCCCATGGTTGCTGACCATAAGGTTACTCGGAGCTCTGGGTTTGTGCAGGAGTTCCAGATGCCGAGCGTTTGGTCTCTGAATAGCGGATCCAGAAGAACATCAGCTTCATCTAAAACCAAAGTTTGAACAGTGGGTAAAGGTGTATGCTGATCCCCAGAACCTGTTGAGATGGATCCAAGCAGAAGTCCAGGGGTTGCGACCAGAATATCCGCCTTTGACACAGGTTGAGAAGACCCTTTGCAGGGTTCTTCTGCTTCGTCACCGCTGTCCTCTTCACTCTCGCCAGAGCTCTCCTTTTCCACCTCATCTTGACTCCTGGTCAGCCTCATACCCTTGCGCATGCCAACTACTTTCACTCCTGTTCCAATACTGAGCTTCTTGGCCTCATTGACAATTTGACTGGCAAGCTCTTTTGTTGGGGCCACTATAATGGCTTCCAAATGATGTTCTCCTTTGTCCTCGTTCTGTCTTCGCCTCTGTATAATTCCATTCACCACAGGTATCAAGAATGCTAATGTCTTTCCACTACCTGTAGGTGCAATGGACAATAAATCAACATTCGCATCTCCTAATTCAGATGCAGACTCCCCCAAAGCCGTCGACGGTTGTAGAAGTAAAGGCAAACTTCCCATTTGAACCTCTGTTGGTATCTTGTATCCTTGATCTGCCAAATTCTCTGCCATCCGCCTAGATATTCCATATGTAGTCTTGAGTTCGCCAAATGTCGTCAATGGCTGGGGATACAGTTGTTTGTGTTCCTCTTTCGCGCTCTGTGCCTTCTTATCGCCCTTCACCTTTTTCGACTTCCTGACCTTCTTGTCATTTGGTTTGCCGGTTGCCAGAAGGGTGACCTTCAGTCTATGTGACCGCAATATTTGTCGACATTCCGCCTCGTCCAGCCCTTTTGGCGCAACTTGTTCTACCGTGCTGGATGAGTCCAGTGCCGGCTTCTCATCTTCCACAGGCGCATTTTTCTTCGATTTTACAGCGGTAGCCTTTGGTGCAAAGAAATTAAGAGCTTCTCCCTCCTCCTCCTGGCCTCCAGTATTCTCTTCTGTTTTCGCTGCCCCGCGCTTCCTCTTCTTCCCTCTTGACTCTGGAATTACATCGTGGTAGAGCTGGGGATTCGCTGAAGTTCCTGCGGATGGCAACTTGGTTGATGCATTTTCGCTCTTCGTTTTATTGGATTGCTTCGTGCCCCTGGAGAGGATTCTCAGAATATCCATGTTGGGCTTGTGGTGTTTTGAAGATTGCAGAAATCCCGAAGAAATAATTTCTTGAAGTGGCAGAATGTTTTGCAGCGCCACACCGCTTTGAGATCGGCGCTAAGATTGCGGATCCCTCCCCCCCTTTTCCCATTGAACCCTAGCCCGAGGTACGACGACCTTAAGTCCTTCACGAGTCGTTCATCATTGCACCAAACAAACACCCTTCACAATCTACAAACATTGTTTTCTCGTCACAATTATGGACATCAACGGAACTCCGGTCTCTTTGGAGCCTCCTCGTCGGAGTCTCTTCTCCTGCAACGGGACATCATCAGCAAGCGGCTTCATCCCAAGATGCGTCTATATCCCCAGTTGTGCTCATCCAGAAGTCACAGGAAGTGTCACCACTATGGACCTATATGGCCGGTATGTTATCGAATGCACTTCAACTGGATTCCTCTCGGCTTCTCCCGGAACTATCGAACCTAGTGGAATCGCAACCGTATCACTACACCACTCCCCTTTACCAATACTATCTACAAGCATCACCACTACGACGGTCAGTAGTGCCGTTGGCACAGTGTCTCCCAGTTCAACTACGACATCCCCCAGTTCCAACGCGGGAGCAAAGCAGTCAAGTCCCGTTTGGGGTGTGTCTGCAGTCCTCATTGTTTCCTGGATTGGATCCTTCATTTGCAGTAATTTCTATTGACCCAGTTCAATATTAGCTGTTGAATGGGTCGAATGGATAACACGCTATCTCTGCGTCGGCTGATTTTTGATATGTTTGGCATAGTGGTATTTCAAGTATGAGAATGCCTATCAGATTCTTCGACTATTCTTTTCCGGATGAATACATTTCTCTCTCCAAATTGGATATTTCCCAAAGGCTTCCCCGACAGGACCTATGAAGAGAACACGATAGCAGCTTCACGAACAAACAATATAGTCTAGCTAGACTTATTTGCCTCATACCACACTCCTCAGCCAAACAGTTCGAGACCACATTACATTTAGGAACCGGCAGCAAGAACTACTCACAATAATATCGTACCATATATGGAACCAGCATTTGACTTCTTCACCGCGAAAAGAACGATAAACTTCTCACGTGGTTGGAACCTTGGCCAGCTGGGACGCTGATTGGCGCGGATAAGGTGGGTAAAATAGTCTTTCATATCGCGGGGTTCTATTTGACGGGACGGGAGGGGCAAGTTTTCCGACACTATTAAAAGGTACAACACCTTTGCTCTACGGCTCTTCTTTTCAACTGCAAAACATCCTTACGAACAAGAAGAACTTCAATTCCGAGAAATATCTGCCGCAGAATTCACAATGGCACAAACCAGCAGCGTAACTAGTTACCACTCCCTCATCACAAGCTCCACCTAACAACCCCACCTCCAGAACTCCTCCTTCGTCCTCAACAAACCCTACGAAGTGTCATTCGAAGAACGCCCTAAACCCACAGTCCAAACCCCCCACGACGTCCTGATCGCAGTAAACTACACTGGCATCTGTGGCAGTGATGTGCACTACTGGGCCGAAGGCGGTATCGGGGAATTTATCCTCAAAAAACCCATGGTCCTAGGCCACGAATCCGCTGGCACAATAATCTCTGTTGGGGAATCCGTAAAGTCCCTCAAAGTAGGCGACCGCGTAGCCATGGAACCCGGTTACCCCTGCCGACACTGCACGCCGTGTCTGTCCGGCCATTATAATCTGTGCCCGGAAATGCACTTCGCTGCCACGCCGCCGTTTGACGGCACTCTGGCAGGGTTCTATACCCTGCCAGAGGACTTCTGCTACAAGCTGCCAGAAAGCGTGTCGTTGCAAGAAGGCGCGCTGGTTGAGCCTCTCGCGGTCGCGGTGCATATCGTAAAGCAGGCCGAAGTCAAGCCTGGGCTGAGCGTGGTGGTTATGGGTGCAGGGCCGGTGGGACTGCTGTGTTGTGCTGTTGCGAAAGCGTATGGAGCGTCGAAGGTTGTGAGTGTTGATATTCAGCCGTCGAGACTTGAGTTTGCTGCTGGGTTTGCTGCCACGCATACTTTTACACCAGCACGCGTGTCTGCGGAGGAAAATGCTGCGCGCTTGCTGAAGGAAGTTGGGATTGCGGATGGTGCCGATGTGGTGATTGATGCTTCGGGTGCGGAGCCATCCATTCAAACCTCGATCCACGTCGTGCGGAGAGGAGGCGTGTATGTGCAAGGCGGGATGGGGAAACCTGATATTACGTTCCCGATCATGGCACTGTGCACAAAGGAGGTGACGGCTAAGGGTAGCTTCAGGTATGGGAGTGGAGACTATAAGCTTGCAGTTGAGCTTGTAGCGTCAGGGAAGGTGGATGTAAAGAAGTTGATCACGGGAACGGTCAAGTTTGAGGATGCAGAGCAGGCGTTTAAAGATGTAAAGGCTGGTAAGGGAATTAAGTGTTTGATTGCGGGGCCGAATGAAAAGCTGTGAGCGTTTATCTAGCGGGTGCATCTCTGGTTTTGGTTGAAGCGGAGTGTTATATAAATCGAATTCCAAAGACATGATAATTGAAACCTTCATATGGGATCAGAAATATTCCAACATTGCTGTGCTTAATTAACACTGGCGCAGATTATCGTCACCAATACTCATCCGTGGCTCTGCTTTTTGACTTCGTAAAAGTTGAGACCCTGGCTCCTGTTCACCATTTGACGACCAGTCGGTTTTCATCCTCACTTCTCCTGCATAGTCACACTATCAAAACGACCGTTTCATTCCGTGACAGCAAAGTTACTCTTGACAGCAAGTGCATCCGATGATTGTAATTCGATAAGGAGTTATCGATCAAGTCATTGTTAGAGTCTGCTGCGTTTGACGACGCATCTGCTTCCTCCTCGTTAGAGAGGTTGCATAACCTTGTCCCAACTTCCGAGGTCTTCTTGTCAAAGTTGATTTTGCTTACATCGTGAATGTTCAAGTGGTTTCGAAGGAGAGTTGTGAGGGATTCCACAAAGAAGTATTTATACAGGGGAGTTGTGGTTGGGATCTGTTGCAGCGGACTTAAGGATCGCGTCTATTAAGGGCCTAGAGAGCTAAGAAGCAATATTGGCATAGGATAGTCGAGGTCAAGAAAGTGAAAGTTTACCTCCGTAAGACGGCTTTATAGCATTCACTGGCATCAGGTTTAATAGTGAATAATTCCTGTTAAACGGTAAATTGTATACAATCTTGTGATGACTCTAGCAGTCTCTTCTATTTGCGAGAGATGTCGTGTTAAGTCTTATGTATATTATATAAAGCAAGAGTCTCAGCAAGTATCCGGGTTCTTGCAGACTTGTTCATATGGTGATTCTACCACCCCTCATCGTCTTCCGACCAGTCAGCTGTCCACGTAGACATATGCTTCTCAGTAACTGTACTTGTACTGTTTCTAATCTACCTGGTACCTTGATACTGCCGGCAGAGTCATATTCTTATTTTTGTTTTGCTGTCATCTAATAGCAGCTGTTCACGGAGTATTATTATTCACTCTATATGAATATCAAATGTTGAAGTGCAGAGAGGTTGTCTTGGGACACGTATAAGAAGTTGAAATTGAGAGAAGGAGCGCAAGGGAACGCTATGACTTAACAAAGGCACTGGCGTGCATTAACTCCTTTCTGAACGTGCTTATACACTTTGGTAAAGAGCGCTCTTGGGTGCGTATATATACTAGGAAAATACACTTATTGAGAACTGCTTAGTGTACCCTAGATCGACTTGTATTTTCTAGTTGACACTCAGTCTTTACTTAAGCTCAATCTCATTCCACTTAAGGTAGACATCTCCGGGAACACTGGAGGAAGCAGGGCATCTTCCCACATTACCCCAATATTATATCTCATCTCAGATCAATTACACTGCACGCGGGCGTACCTTTCAAACAGTTGTAGAATTTTCTTCCACTCAAGAAGTCTACATAAGTTAAGGGCATCCTGGGAATTCGGATCCGTCAAGCAGACACCCCACTCAAGCATTATCTGCGCCGTGTATGCGCACTCCACATGCCAAAAATCATCGACTTCATTCACATGTTTGATAAAGGCAACGCCACGGAGGCGTCGGTTTTTAAAACGGTTTTCATCGTCAACTGCAGGGCCATATGATACGCCGACAACAATGAAGTACAGGTTTGGATGATGTCAAAGACCTAAGTGGCGCACTTCAGGGGAGTTATAGTTGAATTTAAACCTAGAAAGGAAGCCTAACCCCGAGTCCCTAGTTTTAGGTCTGGATCATGAAGGCTGATTCTCTGTTGTAGAACGATTAGGAGTAGATAGTGAAGACGGGTTGAGACAATCGCGCCGTCTCTGGAATTAAACTTTGGTTCGGATTGCATATTGGCATGTATCCAATTTCGTGTTCCATATTGTTACTTGCCATGGTAAGGATAAGTGTGCTGAGAGTTAGGACTCTAAAGTGTTAGTTACAGGGCTAATGATTCTAATATAGCCCAACATGTCCTCTTGAGTGAGTGTTCTCAGAAAATTCCACGTATAGGAAACAATCACATCTATATCAGTTCGTGAATCGTTTTGACTCAACCCAGAGTCATGCACCCTATGGCATATAGGACAAGTGAAGCGCCGAGAACAACTTCACTCTCAAGACACGCAGATCTACGACAAATCCTCGCCAATACTGACACTAAGAACATACAGCAGGGACACTGTGGAAGGACTTCGCAAATGGCCCTACAAAACCGACCAACCCTACTTGTCGTTTGGCATTGATTGGGATACGGTACATCCTGTTGGGTATCAACGCATGGGTGCAGCTAATCCTCTGGTCGATGGTGTCGCACAGCAGGCACGTCAAGCTGCCCATCCCAGTTGGATGAATCAACGAGGTCTTTACGAATCCCAACCACAATTTATTTCCACGGTGTTTGAAATTTTTACTTCGATCAGGTCATTCCAAACCCTCCTCGGCATCAACGATTAGAATGGATTCAGCCTCGGGCTCTTACATATACGCCTTGCAGGATGTGCCAGGAAGAGGGAAAGGTCTCGTTGCAAGGGAGAAGATCTTCAAGGGCACGCGAGTTCTTTCTGAAGAGGCCGTTGCCACAGTCAGTGAATCGGTCGGCAGCGAGCGGCTTCGAACATCCACCTGCCAGCAAGTTGAAGCCCTTAGCAAAGATCAGCGGCGAGACTTCCTATCCATGCACAACATCCACCCATATAGGAATGCTGCTGAGCAGTATCTCGGGATCGTTCGAACAAACTCCCTACCTGCTGAAGCCGTTGGAGATAAAAGGGCAATCTTCCTAAATGCATGCCGCATCAACCACGCTTGCGATAATAACGCACAGAAGAACTGGAACGAGAAGATCAAACGACATACAGTGCATGCCTCAAAAGACATTAATAAAGGCGAAGAGATTACAATAACCTACCTAGGCCCCTTCAAGAACCGCAAAGCCCGGCAACAGGCACTTCAGGAAAGATTCGGCTTCACATGTTTGTGCCGTCTCTGCTCCTTACCGCTAGAGCAGAGCCAGGAAAGCGACAGGAGATTAGAGGAGATCCACCGCTTAGACGGTGTCATCGACCAACTCGGCACAGAGGGAATTTTGGTATCCCCACTCCGGACCCTCCGCTACTTTGATCAACAGGTACGTCTCTATAACGAGCAAGGACGAGAGGACGTTGGTTTTGCGCAGGCCTTTGTCAATGCCGCTCAGCTCGTCATCGCCAATAGCGACTTGGCAAGAGGTCGCGTCTTCGCGGAGAGGGCGGCATCTGTTTGGAAGACGACCCTTGGTGGTGATAGCGCGCAAGCTATTAAGCACGGGGCTCTAGCACAGAACCCCTCGAAGTACGAGCTGTTCGGAGTCTCAACGAAGTGGAAGACGAAAGTGAATGAAGCCCCACAGGGACTTGAACCGGGGGACTTCGAAGACTGGCTTTGGAAGAGGGATAAGCCAAACCATTCCGGACAGCTGGCAGATCTACGGAGCCGCACGACCTTCCCCGGGTTTACTGACCTCCCGGACGAGAACGATATCGACCCGGAGTTTTATGAGAGAAGCAGTATAGGTATATACCGACCGCGACGCCATTAGTGCTTCTTTGGTGAGATTGTGGATTTCGCTTCGCTACTTCGTCTGCAGATGGATATCAAGGATGTTGACGGTACGACAATTCCGCTATACTTCTATACCGATAGCCGAGGCAGTGAATTAGCACCAGGACAGGTTCAAAAGGGGTACACGGTCGCCATTCTCTACGCAAAGCGCCACGCATTTATGTTCTGTGAGCCCGGTATCCGCCATGAGGATCCCCGGATGATCAAGGTATTACAGTAATTGCCAATCAAGCTTAAATCACGTTCGCTAACCGAACGGGACGTCGTATAGATCTTGCCACTGTCACTTGATAAGTTGCTGGCGTTAAACGACCAGTTCCAACAGTTCTCAACAGAGACTAATAGCATGAGAATGTGTCACGGGTGCGGTAAGAAGGCAGCCTCTCTGCAACGGTGCGGCAAGTGCTCGTCTTTCTGGTATTGCAATAGGGTAAGACTGGCATTGATATTCCTTGTATTATATTAACTTTGATGCTAATATGGGTGTGATAAGGCGTGCCAAGTAGCTGGCTGGAACAAGAAAGGTCACAAAGCTAATTGCAAGCTCCTCAAGGATCCAAATTTGCGAGGATTGTTTGTTGTTAAATGGGACGAATTTGATAACTATATTCGATTTCCTCTTGATGCTATAAAGGACTCCTAAAATAGTGTTTTTTCAATCGCTTAGGAAGAGAGCTTAAAGAGAATATATGAGATTTGTCTTCAGGAGTTGAAAAGGCTGGAATAGAGTCCGTAACAGTGGGACTGATCTTGAAAATGTAGACGGTAATCTGACGTCCCTTCTGCAATACTTAATGCTATAGATTGCTCAGGGAACCTTGGACGTGATGTGACACAGTGGTAGCGGTGAGTAGCATCCACCTAGTCCGTATGAGTCAATCATTGTAGCAAGGCATATGTCGCGCGAGGTGAAGCAGAAATGGACCCGCAGAGAATCTGCAGGCTACATGTGATCTCGGGCAGAAAATCCCAAGGACCGTTGGACGAAAATACTGTATCATGCCATATGTCATTCAGTGGTAGTGTTCTCAGATCTGCTTGGCTGCTCCCATCTGTATGGAATATGATGAATTCTCTCCTCAAAAAGCATGATCTCAGCTAAGTCAAGATCTAGAACACAACCGAACACAACAAGCAGATCCAGGAGGTCGTCTTGTCTGGCAAAACGCATGAGAACAACATTGCTGACCACTACTTAGCGACCAATCTTTTGACCACAGGAAGATTCGTCACTTGCGAATTCAACGTTTGGAATTATCAAGAGACATGCTTTTCGAGCTATCACAACGCCTCAAATCCCAACATCTTGCAATACTGCAATTGATCAACGATTTAGACACTTCCGTGATTCGCCAAAAGAAAAGAAGCAAGTCTAGGGCAATGCATGATTTGTTGAGAGAGTGTGTCAGTAAAGAGTGTGGGAGTACAAGAGAAACTTCGCACCCTATCAAGTTCAAAAACCTAATGCAAGTATGTGACTCAAGGCCATGGGCGCTACCTTGTCCCGCACGCGGATACGGATGCCGATTTCCAAGCCTAGGCGGCCTGCGGCGAGACAATTGGACGTGTTTAATATTATACTCATGCACAAGCTTGAAAATGACCATGTCGAGCTCCTTAAGTGAGGCTTCTTAAAACTTTATGAACAGGACGGCAAAATTGATTATCGTCATCAAAAGTCACCACCTTCGATCAACCATCTAGACCTCTCCTGAAAGTGAACAGTTATAGATTCGGCCACGACACTCAAGTTATGCCCAAGTAATGGAAGACTAGTCATGTGGGGAAGTTCAACTACTTGGGCGCAATTGCAGAGTAGCATCAACCAGCTTGCAACGCTTAATCAAGTCCCCGAGCCGCCGAAAGAGAACACTCTCTTGTTAGGACAGTCGACTCATCGATTAAAGATCATGCGCGAGAATGAGATTGCTAGCAACCTGGCATTCCTATCTGCAACCTCAGACGATAGCCTGAAAGTAATGGCTGTGTGTGTTGAAGAACATGTCAGCGGAACGGGAGTCACGATTCGGATTGCATCAAATTCTGGAGACCTTCTAGAAGTCACAAGCGGATTCAAGATTCTTGCTAACTCCTTAGAGCAGGCTGCGCGGCGAGGTACCAACGTTTCTGAGATGAGCCTCTGCACCCAGCTGACTTGTCTTTAGAGAATTTAAAAGACGCAGATAGAGATGCCCTCTTTCAGAAGGTAATTTCTTTAGATCGCAATCGAATCTTGTCTCGATTACGGTCACGCCATGCTAGGACTCGCAGGACCATTGGAAAACAACCCCTTATTACTCAGCTGAATGAAGCTCTCCACGATAAGAGTACGAAAGCTCGCCCGGGATTTAAGAAAGGTAGCCTCGAGGCCATGAGAGCTAAGGCACAAGCTCTAAAGGTCTTGTTCGTCAGACTTGAGCATATATCAGATCTGACTTTGGAAAGAGTCAATGCTGAAGACATTATTCGCGGCATAGTGAAAGGAGCGCACGAAATTAGCAAAGAAGCGAGTCTTAGTACAGCTCTCCAAACATTCTCGGGAGATCCAAGCTTGAAACATCACCTGCCAGAAGCAGTTGGCAAGCTTGGTCGATACTACTCTGCATCATTGGAGCTCGTCTGTGCTGCCAGGGATAGGACATGCCGGGTTTTCGAAAACATCCAAGTAAAGCCAGTTGAGGTTCTGGTGCCCGCCACCAGCCAGAAAGTAGCAGAGTATAAGGTTCACGCTGAAATACAGCTCCTCTTCTTCTACGAGCTTCATCCATACATCCCGCGACCAAGAGTCATCTGCTCGAGTAAGAGTGCTTGCTACCTGTGCAATCTCCTCTTCGAACTCCACCGTGGCTTCAATATACCTCGCACTCACGGCAAGTTGTACACTAAATGGATCTTGCCCCATTGGCTAGATGTCCCCACCGAGCGTCGCGGAGATCTTGGATTGATTGCAACCCAGCTGAAGGCAGCACTAGACAGCAAGATTCAATCTACCCTAAGATCTAAGAAAAGTATATGCTACCATCCAAATGAAAGCATCTTGTCACCACACGCACATTGGCCATCATCATCTGCCCTTTCTAGAAATTTGTCGCCACAGCCGTCAGCCTCAACGTCTACACTTCGGCCGAGCTCCATGCCCATTCGGGAGGCCATAACAAATCGCGAAATATCCTGCACAGACTTACCTTTCACTCCACCGACAACCACCCCGGAGCGATCTCCCAGTAGTACTTTAGAAACGACAGGAGCTATAGAAGCCATTAAGCTTGAGGACAAGGCGGGGGGAGTAGCAGTTCGGGATAATGTGTCACTTGTAAGTGTCGGGAACCACGAACTTCCTTACAGCCAATCGATTACGATATCGACGCCTTTACTACACTTGCAACTTAGCAAGTTATCCCTTGCAATAGAGTTGGTGCAGGTGACCACTGGTCACTTATCGATCACACGTGTGAAAGATGACTCGACGAACAGAGACAAGAACCGTCGCAGTATCAAAGTAGCAGATATCCCAACGATAACAACGTTAAGATTAAACTGCCCACCCAACTCAAATAAGCTTTCATTCCAGCTACAATGCTCTCCAACAGAAGAGTTTCGTATTGTGTTTATATGGGGAGCAGACCAAGGGATCTGTAGTCAAGAGACTAGTAAGCCTCTATCGTAAAGCAATGGTTTTACACCCAGCTAGCGATCAGGACGACGTAAATGGAGGCAGGTGGTCAATAAGTGGAGGGAAGCCGATTTCTCCTTAGAAGCAGCCTGAAACCAAAGCCCTTATCCAAGAAAAGAAGGATGGTTTCAGACAACAGCAACCCCGTTGACGTCAATTTAAATCAGCAGATTGCCAATGCCTTCGCATTTGCGTGCTTGCTGAAGATAAAAGACCCATCGTGTTGTGGCTGCTTTGATATTGATCTTCTATGGGGTAAGTCGGGACCCCCCCCTTTGGCCCACCCCCACTTTACTCACCGCTAGACTATACCTCCCACTTTATATTCTAATAACTTTGCAACGCTTTTATAAAAACCTTTAAAAATTTAATACAGTCTTCTTAACACTATAAAGCCTCAGTATACTGAATTGGATATTATAGATGCGCTTAATGCAGTTGCAAATAGCCAATCTGTACGGAAAGCATGTCTGGATTAGGGCATCCCACAGGGGACCTTACGGAACCGAATTGAAGGCCACGAACCACGTCAAATTGCTGCAGCGCATTTGCAGAGGCTTTCTACGACCCAAGAAAAGAATTTGATAGGCTAGATTTTAACCCAGGAAGCCCTAGGGCTTAGCCCTACGCATACGCAAATTAAGGACTTCGCCTAGCGCTTACTAGTGATATGGGGGGACACAATTACACTTGGAAAACGCTGGATATATGGATTCCTTAAACGCAATCCTATTCTTAAGACTAAGAAGCAACTACGGATCAATTCAGCACGTGTAAATAGTGCCACAAGTAATATAATTAAGGCATGGTTCCAAAAATTGGAAGTCCCTGAAATCAAGGCTATAAAATCCAAAAATCGCTGGAATATGGATGAAGCTGGGATTATGGAGGGCCAGGGGATTAATGGCATAGTAGTAGGAAGCAGGAATCGACGTTTTATTCAGCGGAAACAGCCAGGATCTAAGGCCTGGACCTCTTTTATTAAGTGTATTAGTGTAGAGGGACTAGCGCTTCCTCCACTGGTCATGTTTAAGGGAAAGATAGTCCAACAGTAGTGGTTTCCTACTAGCCTTAAGTTATATGAGCATTAGCACTTCACTGCAACTGAAAACGGCTGGACTTCAGATGCTACAGCCCTAGAATGGCTAGAAAAAGTCTTTATCCCCTCTATAGCACCACAGGACCCACAGGAGCTACAGTTACTTATATTAGACGGTCATAGGAGTCATAAAACCACTAATTTTATATGGCTTTGCTTCCAGCATAAGATACACCTCTTATTTCTGCCTCCACATATATCACATGTATTACAACCACTAGATTTATCAATATTCTCCCCCCTAAAGAGCGCCTACCAAAAGGAGCTTAGTAACTTAAGCCTCCTTACAGATTCTAACCCAATTGGAAAGCGTAACTTCTTACGGTGCTATGCTAGGGCACAGGAGATAAGCCTCACATCAAGGAATATTAGGGCAGGATGGCAGGCTACAGGTCTATGGCCCCCTAATATGGCTAAGCCTCTAATAAGCCGTTTATTGCTAGAAAATAGTAATAACGGTCCGCAAGAGGCTGCAAATAAGATTATTAGGGATGCAGAGGCACTTATAGGTCATGCATTATCCCTAGTTACCTGGGAAACCCCTAAGGCAGCTAAGGAAGTAAGGTTGCAGGTAGAGACGATTTCCCGATTAGGCAATAGCAATCTTCCAACCCAGCGGCTGCTTTTTAGGAAGGTTCTAAAAGGATTTGATAAAAGGGACTATGCACTAGCACAGACAAGGCTTCAGGTTACTCAATTGGAAGCTAGACTAGAGCAGTTAGAGCCGCGGAAAAGACGGAAAGTGAGGACTAGTCCAAATTCGAAGTTTGTAGGTATTCAGGCTATAAAAGAGGCCCAAATTGGAGCAGGAGACCGGGAAATTAAAGAGGAAGACTCTAATTTATCTATAGAATCTGCTAGTACAGGCGATTGCATAGAAGTAGAGGAATAAAAAAGTTATTAAGATATAAAGTTATAAGGTAGTAGCTAAGCGAGGTGGGCCAAAGGGGGGGGTGGGCCAAAGGGGGGGTCCCGACTTACATTGAAGATGTGCAACCCTTAGTAAGTGCATTTAGTCTGACATATTAATCAGGAACCGACAACGGATATCAAGACGGTGACTTTCTGGTACAATGGCGGGAATTTCGAAAAGCGACAGCTTTTTATTGATCCGAAGACCTTCGAAGCCACGAGTGAGTTTCACCCATCCAACGAAACTTTAGTGGACTCAATGGAAACTTCCTCCATCAGCGTTTTGGACGACTGATCCGTGACAGCTGATGGAATCAATTATGGTCCCAAAAAGGTGACAATTTTGCGGCAACCCAAAAGTCAGCGGTCCAAACTACCGCGCTTACCCGAAGTCGGGTAGATCGGACATAATAGACTGGGATACTGGTACATACCCTTTTCTTTACGGTCTTCAGATTCTTGGCTCTTGAGACATGTCTCCAGAGCCGGACCTTAAGGCAATCCCAAATCCTGAAAATGTGTCAAATGCAAGGCTAACTTCAATGAAGCGGACAGTGGGTACTTCCAAAGCGTGAAGAGATATGACCGAGTGTCAGAAGCTTGTGTCAAATGGGATGTTCAAGAGGTCTACAGTCCGCGTATCCTCAATGGTGGATCTCAAGGACCCTACAATACCGAACATGTGTACGAAGGCCAGTCGATAGGCCAGTTCTTTAGCGAGTACATCAGTATGGGTAGATTGTCCTGGTGGTCAGTCGGATACACTCCTGGTACTCCTGTTAATGATGCTCGTTTCGGCTGCACTCCCACCGATACCGGTGCCAGCTGGGTTAATCAGTGGATCAAGAGCAGACGAGACGACACCTGGGATTTTAATGTTGGAGGCTTTGCTGGAGGTATCACTGCGGTCGTTAGCACTTTTGGCCGGCGTGTACTTCAGGAGTTTGGAGGCATGGTACGTCCCAAATCCGCTCTGTGATTCTCATATTCTTAAGAGCCGAGATTGGATTGGATCAACCTCCCGGCTCTCAAACAACTGATTAATACGCGCACTGACTTTATAAACAGAATAACCTTGACCGATTGGTGGTCTTCCCATCGCGACCAAATATTGATAAAGGTGCTCTGTTTGGTGGCGGAAACGTGTAAGTGATCTTGAGCCCAGCTTTCCAATTGTGCTATGCTGACCTGGGAATTGCGAATAGATACAACGGAGACAAGTTTGCAGCAATGGGATACCAAGAACAATTGCTTACTATGAAAGAATTAGGGATGGGATTTACTTATATGAACCTCCCCGACATTATAGATGCCTACTGTCTCACCTATGAGGGGATATATACACTCATGGGGCAATTCGATACGTGGTATGCTCAGCAAAATCCAAATGGTCCGGTCCCTGCAATGCAGGATAAGTGGAAGGCTTACAACCGTGAGCTGTTGAACAATATTGTGGTGACGTCCCATGAGGTTGCTTCGACATGGTTCAATAGACTTGAATAAGTTTTCCCGCTCTTCAGAACTGGTATAAGGAGCTAACATGTTCTCAGAGGGGTAAATATGCCACAGTTTTACCAAAACCTCTGGATCAGTGTGCTCACCACTCAAGAGCGCAAAATGAATCTTGTGAATGTATACGTAAGTCCAATGCAAAATCCTTGGATTCATGCTCTATATCTTCAAAGATAGTCTTCTTTGTTCTGCTGTCTCTGCTGACTCGTTAATCATAGTACAATAATTTGCCCCAGACGACTCTGCCCGTAACAGATTTCCTTAGCAATCCATTCCCCCCCTCCAGTGGAGCGTAGATATTAGATCTATATAAGTCGCTCTCTATAGTAGCTCAATCATATACATAATATCTCTTGAAAAGTCAATTTCAATCTTAGTCTCGTTCGAAATCATGTGAATTTCTCGCTTCCGGGAGTAATAGATGACCTCCTAAAATCAAGAAGTAATCTTTGACCTTGGTGACTTTGATCTGCCGATAGAGACATTAGGCCCAAATCAGGACACCCTGCCAAACAAAGACTTTGAAGCTTTGCCTCGCAGGGTTAAGAGAGGGGCTATTTGCACATGATAACACCAACAAATCTACCGATAAAGTCCATCGCCGGTCGACACCTTTCCCTACTATTCAATGCTCACCACCCGCCAACTTTTGTATTATCTCCGCATAACAACAAGATATCATATGATCTTCAGACCAAATGGCTCCAGTTCTCCCACCCACTGGCATCGAGCCGGTCGACCAGTACGGCGTGGACGGCCTCAGTGTTTGTCGAACAGAGGACAAGAAATCCCTCATTTTTTACCCTGCGACTTATAGACCTCAGAACGACCCAGAATATGAGGATCCGAACGGGTCTGCGCATGCGTGGCAAAACCAGGAAGAGGCGATGGAACAGCTAGGTTGGCTGAAGAAGATCCATGAGATTATTGGGGCGAGTGATCCAACCTCGCATCCACATGTACAGAGGTCAGTTTGTATCCGGTGCGAGAAGGTTTTTACAAAATTGACTTAGTTTTCAGGCTCTTGGAAACTCAAACCGGAACCGGATTTCCCATCGTTGAATTCGTCGATAAAGGTGATTTGTATAGCTTTCTGCGCACAAATCCTAAGCCTGTAGTCCCATCTGGCAAGGGATCCGAGAATCCCTTAACACTTAAGTACGTCAATTCATCCAGAGAAGAAGTTTGAGAAAAGATTGTAGACTTACAATTTGCAGACTTCGCTGGGCACTAAACATCGCTTCAGCCCTGGCCTTCTTACACACTAAAAACATTGTATTTGAAGGGCTCTCTCCAAATACCATCCGCCTACGGTCTGACCTCTCAGCCGCTCTTGTCGATCTAGACGCCGCAGCCTACAAAGAGCAGACGGGCAGCGACGGCATGGCAGACGGCTACCGATGTCCAGACTGGGTTGAAGCGCCTCTTGCCGACCAGGCTGAAACCTGGATCACACCTTCGCAAGATATCTATGCGTTTGGATCGTTGATGTATTACTTATTAGTAGAGGAAGACCCTGAACCGTGGAAGGATGAGGAGGACATGCCGGAGCTTGAGGAGAATGATCTGGATGAGATTATTAGGAAGTGCTGGGTAAGAGAGTTTGGCAGCATGGCTGAGGTTGTGAAAGCTGTGAAGATGATTGTGGCGCAGGAGGGGTTAGAGTTGAGTGGGGGAGGATGATATTATGGTTGATGCTTCCGTTGAGCGGTTTGAGGCTGCTGGGATCTTTTCAAACATGATTAAGCGATTTGAGGAATCTTCGGCTTAAGCACTATTCTGGCGGTCTTGAGAGGCAGGAGGACTTTGTAGAAGGTATATTCCTTTAGCAAGACTATTTTTTGACGAAAGTCTTCACGTCACAAGACTATTATATTGAGATAAGAATATACTTTCGCTAGTAATCCCTGCAGCGGGCATGTTAGCAATGGCTGTTGAAGCCTGCAAAAAGCTGGCTGATCAGAGCAAGGAGCTTGAGAGCTTTCTTTTCAAAATGTCTCTTTCCATCCAGCACTAATGATACCCGATAGTCCTAGTGGTATCGAGGTAAACATGTACTTACGGCCTCGGAAGAATGTGAATGAGAAAGATGCTGGATGGCACGAAAATTGCAGCGGGTCTATTCAGAGGCTTGGCAGTGCTGTTATCACCACTTTTATACCATCGTCACCACTATAGTTTAGACTTCCAGGCTGTCGTCACCACTATTGCCCCACTAACACCCCGCACCTCCCAGCTATCATTTAGACAAGTCTGACGTCCAACTAATAGTAAGCTCCTGGACTCAACAGATGGAGGCATCTTCGACAGAGAATCGCAAGTTAAGTTTCTATCCTAAAAACTCTCGATTTCTCGTCTCGTCATGGCATTCTTCCGACAGTATTTGACAGAAGATGAAGAAGCACAGATCCATCAGCAGTTCCAAGGGGATATATGGCGTCGTAATAATCAGGTCTTATGGAGCGGCATCCTGCGCGATGAAGCTCAGCGTTGGGCGGATGAACATGAGATGCAGACACTAACTACAGCAATGGGTCCTCTGATGGATGTCTCTCATCGGCTGTGTTCAAGAAATAAAAAAACAATCAATGAGTGGAGCCAGTATGTAAAGGGAGCTTCAGCTATCTTTGCATGGTATATCTCGAGAGGCGAAAAGGTTACAGTTTTATCACCACCACCCCCAGAAAGATTTCACCCATCTGGAGCAACAAGTTACCAAGCAATAGAAGAGCCAATTATAAGGGGGAAATTAGAGGCAAGAGCGGTATCACGAATCGAAATGGTACATCCAAACGTTAAAGGAGCCGAGAATATCCACTACCAGATATGGCCAGTGGATGAAACCACTACCTGGACGGCAAAATTTGGAGAGTCAAACGTGCAGAAACGTTGCTGGAGAATGGTGAAAAAGGTAAAGACTCTAGCATATAATTTAGGAGATACAGAGATTATTAAGAAGGTTATCAAGCAGTACGAGGTTAAACATACGCCAATTTCCGCTCATCGGGAGGAGGGGCAAGACGAGGAAAAGAAATATAGCGAAGAAGGAGAAAGAAAAGGAGAAAGCAAAGTTGATATGAAGAAGAGAATAGAGGAGGAAGAGAAGAAGAAGGTAGCAAAGATGGAGAAGAAGATGACGACGCAAGAGAAGAAAAGTAAGAAGGAAGAAGAGAAATGGGTAGCAAAGATGAAGGTAAAGATGGAGAAGAAGGAGGCGAAGAGGGTGGCAAAGATAGAGAAGAAGGAGGCGAAGAGGGTAGCAAAGATGGCGAAGAAGGAGGCGCAGAAAGAGAAGAAAAGGGAGGAGGAAGAGGACAAGAAGATGGATCGTGAGAAGATGGAGGAAACTAGCAACAGGCTCCACCAGTTGGAGGAAGATTGTAGAGAAGAGGGCATGGAGTCTAGAGCAAGGGCTAAAGTTGAGCACGAAGCTGCACAAGTAAAGAAGGAGAAGGCAAAGCTTCAGCAAGAGATGGAGAAACTAGAGAAAAGGGTGACTTTGGCAATGGCCGGAGAAAGGCAGAAGTTGAACCAGGAGTTTGACAAGCGTATGAGGCAACATGATAAGAGTCATGAAAAGCGCATGCAGGAGCTGGAAGATACGTTTGCTCAAAGGCGAGACGAGATTGATAGAAAAGCAGCGGACTTTGAGGCTGTGAGGGGACGACTTTCGACTGCAGTCAAAGAACGGGACAAGCGAATCGAGACTCAATCGGATGAGCTAGTGGAACTAAACGAGCGATATGATATGCTAGAAAGAGCAAAGAACTCAATCGGAAAGGAAATCCTAAAGCGGAAAACGGAGCTGGCACTGGTGAAGGAGTTTGCATTCGACCCTCAACCAGTGGATTACTCGTATGTGTTTTGGCTTATCACTAGCTAATAAAGGGGACCTCATGCTAAGATGATTCCGTGAGCATAGTTTTGCGCAAACCGAAAGTCCGATCGGATTTCTGGAACTAACTTCTATAGCATAGAAGGAAAAGTGAAAGCCCTCTTCTCCACTGGGAATTGGTTTTGCTAACCGTATATAAGGATATGGAACAAGTGCACCATAGCAGGCGACAGAAGATTCTTCTGCAACAACTCTCCTGCGAATGGTTAGGGGGAGAATTACAACACTTGGCAGCGCAAAGCTGAAGCGATATCAGTGGACAGGACAAACTAGGCCCAGCGTAATATTGACAGATATACTATGAGCCTACGGCTGTGGCTAACGCATATTGTATTTGAAGACAATGTCTAAAGAACTCCATTTCAAAGCTTCTAATGCATGCTCTGGATCCGCAGCACCAATCATGCTTTCCACATGTTCCTTAACCCGAGAGAGCTTGGTTAATGGAGCTTTCCCGGCCCAGCCAGCTTGGATAACATTGGTTAGGATCTTAGCACCTACTTTAATAGTGTCACGGCCTGCCAGCAATTAATTCTATATTTGTCGAACCTCCTGCACTAAGTTCACGTTATCGAAAGGGTCAAGCCTAGTGAGGATATAGTGAAGATACGAGGCTAAACTAGAGTGGTATATCGCAATATGAACTGCGTTATCATAATCGTCGTTTGTTATAGTAGAGCCAAAGTCGAAAGGTTTAAGGTGGCAGAGAGATATGAGAAATATAGCTCTTATATTATTAAGTGACACGGCTGCTAGAGAATATATATAAGAATATATAATTCTTATCTTTACCTAGATAATGAATTTCCAAATGTAACGCCTTTAATCCACTTCCTATCTTATATTCCCATCTAGTCTACATATTCTTCTTGAGCTTTATAATTCCAACTTAAGATATACATAGGTATACTCCAGACTCGCTTCGCGCACCAATCAATTTGGTCACCTCGAACAAGTACAATATCCACTCTTTCACCGTATTGCCTGAAACGGAATAGGATGAGCGCCGCAGACTACCCAGGTAGGTAATCACTTTTGAACATTTCCCGAACCTAGTCGCCTCATATGCCAGTTATGGGCCATCATTAGACCGGATAGGAATTTATTGTGTATTCAAACCACGTTTCGTTCCGTAGCGCAGTGCTCGGAAGGTGAGTTTGTCCGAGAATCGGGTTTATTTCACCCGCTCTGGCTATGATGCATGAGTTTTGTTATTTGCGCGGGAGATGATGGCCAGGATTGCTACTTTCGGTATATTGTCCGCTGGAGGGTTGGTGAAGAAGGTGGTTTTGAACTACTTTGGGGCTGCAGATTAGCAGTAGGGTTTCTAGACTTCTCTCTATGTATCTTTACTTAAATACTCACTCTTCTAGTCACCTCGGATGCCTTAAGTAACTTTTGTTTCCAGCACTTCAAGTACCATCTCATCCTATTCTGTTTCTTGGAACGTCTTCCAAATCAATCTATTGCTTCAAGTTAGCATCATCCAACCCTATATATGGCTGACCAGAAAATGGCCACCCCAAAGCGCACCGTTCTCATCACCGGATGTTCAGACGGAAGTCTAGGCTCCTATCTCGCCATCGCCTTCCACAAATCCGGACTGCACGTCTACGCTACAGCACGAAACCCATCCAAGATGGCCGGCCTAGTCGCGCTCGGCATCGAAACACTTACGCTGGACGTGCTATCCGACTCCTCCATCGCCGCCGCTGTGTCCCAGATACCGAGCCTCGATATCCTGGTCAACAATGCAGGCGCTGTTTTAAACATGCCTTTCTCGGACCTCTCGATCCCCGAGGCCAAGAAACTGTTTGATCTAAACGTGTGGTCGTACCTGGCTGTGACGCAGGCGTTCCTACCTCTACTGCTTGAGTCCAAGGGGATTATTGCAAACCAGACGTCGGGGGCTTCGGTCGTTACGATTCCGTTCCAGTCTACGTACAACGCGTCGAAAGCTGCGATGGCCATGTTTTCCGATAGCCAGCGCTTGGAGCTGGAACCGTTCGGCGTTCGAATTATTGATCTGAAGACCGGGTCTGTCAGGAGCAATATTCAGAACTCGATGACAGATAGGACGACGCTGCCGAAGGGATCCATATATGAGCCTGCGCGAGAGGCGGTGGAGAAGACGTTGGGTGGTGAAGAGTTCTTCAGAGATGCTGGGGAGCCGACGAAGTGGGCCGAAGGCGTAGTAGGGAATTTGCTGAGGAAGAGTCCGCCGCCCATTATTTGGCTACCTGGTAGTATAAATATGTTTCTGATACGACTTGGTTTACTTTTTCCCTTTGGGACGTTCGATGGGACGATTAAGAAGATGACCGGGCTTGATATTGTTGCGCAGAGGGTGGGAAAATAATCATACTAAAAGGGACATGGCGATTTATCTCAATTGGATGGGAGGGGGTGTGATTGTCTGTATGAGTCGGATTTATATATCAAGTTCTGTTTAAGGTGGTGGAATTAGACAGTGTAGTAGCGTGGATCTCATATCACCTAGGTATAACTTAAGATAAACAAACGCACTAAGAATATCCGAGTAGCGTTTTTAGTCTCTTTACATCTAATATATACAAATTCATTTCTTTAATTGCCATCAAGTGATAGATATTCGTAAGTTTATTCAGAGACTTTTATGCCAATATGGATTTCTCCCTCGTCTAAAAGCCGCCGTTACCCATTTAGCGCTTGTCACCTTTTGTCACCCTCTGTCACCCTCTGTCACCCTTTAGCAAAAATTCCGGATATGCGTGTATTCAAAAACCAGTTAATTATAAAGCGTTAATTACTAATTAGTATGATTTATCAGCTAAAAATAAAAGCAGAAAGTCCTCTCTGTTTTCAAGACTTTTGATCTATAAAAGGCGTTAAAAGACAAGAAACTTACATATCCGCAAAACAACATCCCCATTAACACCATCCATCATGTCCCCAACCCCAACCCAAACAACCATCCTAATAACCGGCGCCAACCGCGGCCTAGGCGCCGGACTCCTAACCCTCTACCTATCCCTCCCTTACCACACCGTCATAGCCGCCGTCCGGTCCCCCTTATCCCCTTCGTCGCTCGCCCTCCCCACGCTGCCCACCGGCGTCGGTAGCCATCTCATAACCGTGAAAATCGACGCATGCATCGAGACGGACCCCGGAGAAGCCGTCGAGACGCTCCGCAGCACGCACGGCATCTCGCACCTAGACGTCGTGGTAGCCAACGCGGGCGTCTCGTATGTTTTCCCCAAGGTGTCTGAGCTGAAGATCGAGGATCTGCAGGGCCATTTGATGCCGAATGTGTTTGGCGTGGTAGGGTTGTATCAGGCCATGTTGCCGTTGCTACTGAAGGGGGAGAGGCCGAGATGGGTTACTATGGGAACTATAGCGGGGAGTATCGAGTAAGTGAGAAAAAGACCCAAATCTAAAGCAATTCAAATTCAATGTTGAAAGTAGAAGAAAGAAGGAGAAATTCCTTCGTTTTCTTTCCATTTCTTGTTTTTCACTTTCTTATCCTCTCTCAAACAAATAATACCACAAAACGCATGCATGACTGACCCATACCCCACCGCCTAGATCCCAGCCCTCCATGACGAACGCAGCCTACGGCCCCTCAAAAGCAACTGTGCACTGGCTCACCAAGCGCATGAACGCCGAAGAATCCGCACTTGCCGCCTTCGTGATTAGTCCGGGGTGGTGCCAGACGGATATGGGCAATAGCGGGGCGAAGATATTCGGGATGGAAGAGGCGCCTGTGAGTGTGGAGGAGTCGTGCAGGGCGATGGTGAAGCTTATTGAGGGGGTGACAAAGGAGGGAAGGGGTGGGAGATTTTGGGGGTATGAGGGGGATTTGATGGCGTGGTAGGGAGATTGTGTGAAAAGCTTGGATAGATAGAAAGAGGGCTGTATCCTAGTGTGGAGGGGTTTCGTTTGTAAAGACGGGGTGTGGTTGATGGGCAAGTCGTGACGGGTTGGTTGTAGTGAGGAATATGAATATGATAAATGAACAAGTACATTCTGGCCCCAAAACATATGGCTGAAGCACTAGCTTCCGCGACTTCGATGAGTAGAAGACTGCTAGACTTTGCTTGGTAAGTATGCTCTAAACATGCTTGAAGCTAAGAAACGTGAGCCTCTAGACGACAACTAAGATAGAAAAGGGGTTCGCTTGAACAGAGGTAGGAATAGGGATCTAGCTCGCTAAAAAGAACCGAACTCTAGAAAAACCATTATCGCATTTCTCACTCGGAGAAGTAGGGCTATTAGTGTGATCTATCTATGTACCAAGCTCACGTCGGCTCCAGTCCAGTCTAACCTGCCGTCCAGCCGGACGCAAAAATATATACGCTCGCTGAACGCCGAACGAAACCCATCAAATAATACATCATCATCATCCATCAACAACATCCACCTCTCCTCCTTCTTGTCCCGCCACTCAATGTAAACACCTCTTCCCACTCCCTCACGCCTCCTCCGCCAAACCCCCACCCCTTCTTCCCCTTTCTCCTCCTAGGACCCCGTTCATCAACCGTCATGCCGCTTTTCACACTCGCCCCATCTTCGCCTCCCCACCCTCCATCCCCATACTGAATGCCGCTCATCGGATCATCAGGATCAATCTCGCCCAGCTCGATCTTGGTCAAAATCATCCTTGCTAGCCGTCCAAACACCTCATCCACATTATCTCCACTTAACGCAGAAACTTCCACAGAAACAGGCACGTTATTCGAACTCGCCCATTTAGACGCCTCTTCCGCACTGACTTCCCTCCCGTCCGGCGCTGAAGTAGCGCGCAGTTGTGTCCCTAATCCCAATCCCGTACTTGAGTTTACTGATCCCGCGCCAGCGGAAAGGGGGAAACTGGAGCCCCTGCTGCTAACACTTGAAGGTGTGGTAGCGGAAACGTCTATCAGGTTTGCATTTTCAGCGATGTCGAGTTTATTGCCGACGAGGATGCATGTTAGGTTTGGACTTGCGAGGGCGCGCGCGTCGTTCATGAAGGAGGGGAGGGAGGTGAAGGTGCTGTGGGAGGTGAGGTCGTAGGCGAGGATTGCGCCAGCGGCACCGCGGTAGTAGGAGCGGGAGACAGAGCGGAAGCGTTCTGTGCCTGCTGTATCCCATAGCTGTTCCATCATAAGTATCAGTATATTTCCATGTGGGAGTTGGAATAGTGGGGCAGACGAACTTGGAGTTTTATCCTTTTCCTCCTGTTTCCCGTCCCGACTTTGATTATCTTACTTGCGAACTCGACGCCGATGGTCTGCGAGCTTACGACTCGCCATTCGTTCTTGACAAATCGATGGAGGAGGCAGGATCTGTGTTTCCATGAGCTGCTTATTCTAGCATAGCTTCGAGGACGAGGACAAGTTTTGGTTGATAACGTACTTTCCGCTCCCACTGGGTCCCAGCAATATGATCTTAGCAAGATAGTCATACATGCTTCCTAATTCCTATTCCATAATTAGCATCATTCAACTTTCATGCGCCTGGATGGAGCAACAAACCTGGTCTCTGGCTGTCCCCGCGCTCTCCTCACTGGCGCCGCTCAAGCGCCTGGGACGCACCATCCTGCCTTTGCTTGTAGGATTCCCTTTCTTTCTTTCCTTCTTCCTTCCTTCCTCTCTTCCTTTCTTTCCTTGAACAGACAGCCGGTGAAGTCGTAGTGGTAGTCGTCGAAAAGGGGTGCAAGATTTATTAATGTGGATTTGATTCCCCGTTTATTGACAAAGTCGTTGTTGCGTTGTCTTATCACATCGGTGTTTGAGAGCTCGAAGTTCCGGCTCTTGCCCAGATGCGGTAAGGTGCGGGAAGATGCGGGAAGACGCGGGGCGAACAAGGGGGATTGACTGAACCGAGACCGAGACCGAGGCTTCCGATTACCATAGTCTATACATGGGTCTATGATTCCCAACAACCTAACTTTTATATTCCTTAATATATCAATACAATGCAAAATGAAGATCGAAGGAAGAACATTCATTGTATCCGGCGGGCAAGTAGTTTCATCCCTCTCAAACACGAACTCGTCGTTAACAACACACACGCAGTGCATCTGGTCTCGGCCGAGCATGTGTTGAAGACATATGTCGCCGAGGAGGCTACGCCGCAATTTTCGACTTGAATGAAGAGCTTGCTGGCGAATTAGTGCGGGAAATTGGTGGAGGAAAAGCAAAGTTCTTTGAAGCGAATGTCATTGAGTCGGATAGTATTGCTGGGGCTGTTAAGGGAGCTTTGGCCTGGGTCAAAGAGACCGGGATGGAGGTTGGTGGGATTATTGCTGCCGCGGGGGTTGCTACACCGGCTAAGGTACGTACGCAAACTTTTCATTATAAAGGAGTCTAAAAACGTGATGAATTTCTGGGGAGATGGTGAGGCGTGAGTTATGAAATTGGTTTGAGTGAACTCTAGTGAGTGATTCACGAGGTTTTAAGCTAGGTTGAAGTGCCTCAACTTGAGTAGCTTGTTCAAGACAAAAGACGAATGCCAAACTTCTGCCGTTCGTCAGAAGGAAGGTATTCAAAGTTGGGTTTCTGGCACTTCTATTCCAAGTCAAAATAACAAAGCCATTGTCACATTCTCATTCCCACCTCTCCAATCCACCTCAAAACTCACTCCTTCCACCCAAACCCTAACACCCCCCTAGATCCTATCCCGCGATCTAACCCCCTTCTCCCTCTCGGACTTCGACTTCGTGCTCTCCGTCAACGTCCGCGGTACAATCGACTTAATTCGCCAAGTACTTCCGCACATGGCCTCCACCGCCCCATCCACTTCCCCTGACAGCGAGGGGGAGCGCGGCATAATAATCATGGTCTCCTCCGCCGCCGCCTTCGATGGGCAGCCCGGACAAGTAGCCTACGCGGCCTCAAAGGGGGCGGTAGCATCGCTCACCCTGCCGATGACGCGCGATCTGGCGAGGTATGGGATTAGGGTTGTGACGATCGCGCCGAGTTTGTTTGATTCGAGGATGACGAGTGTGATGAGCGAGAAGGTGAGGGGGAGCTTGGAGAGGGTTATGGAGTTTCCGCGTGAGTTTTTGGGCAAGTCCCTTACCTCCTTCCTGTCTATCCTTCCTTCCTTCCTTTCTTCCTTTCCTTTCCGTCCTAGTTCCCACTTCTTGTCAAGATTCGAACTTTGATTTTTGGGCGTTGCATGTGCTTCATGGCATCATAACAAACAAGCAATACAAACTAAATCCCGCAGTACGTCCCGGTAAACCCCACGAGTTCGCACAGCTCGTGACGCAGAGCATCGAGAACGTAATGTTAAACGGTGTTGTGCTGAGGCTGGATGGCGGGATGAGAATGCCGAGTAAGATGTGATTGACTAGCCGGCTTTGTGATTCAAAAACAAATTGGAAAATCAACATTCAAAATCTGATGTCCTATGTTGAGTGAGATGCGGTGGAGATGGAATGTAAGTCTGTGTATAAACTGACTGGGGTTGTCGTCTCTTCATACTGTATACGTAAATCTTTCCTGGGATTACATCTTGCTTCTTCTGTCTACTTTCTTTGTAGGGTACTTTCTTTGTAGGGTACTAAGGGTAGACTCGTGGCCTATACCCAGTGCTGCAGAAGCCCCCTCTGAAGCTTCAATTGATCAACAGAGATGATTTCCCTCCTTTTGTCTTGAATTTGCAAAATCCCAATGTCAGACTACCATGACATGCTTGCAAAGACACCCCAATACAATACCCAACAGCCTCCCTTTCCACCCCCATCCCGCCATCCATCACTCACCAATTCCCCACTCACCACTCAAACTCTTCACCAACCCCTCAATATTCCATCCCGCCCCCCCAACCCGCCCCAAACAAGCAAGTATATTCCCCTGTTGCGCCGGATGCGTTATACGCCTCGCCACGAGCGCAAGAGCAGCGATCAGACACGGGTCCCAGCATTTTGTATCCTCGGGCTCGCTGTGCAGCGCAATGCCACAGACGCGGCGTGCGTGCCAGAGGGGGGAAAGGCTTGCCTTGTGCATGGCAAGCTGAGAATCAGAACCAGAATCTCCATGCATCTGCATTTCAAGGTCAAGGTCAGCTAGGGATAGCAACGACGGTTGGTGACTAAGTAATATATGCATAGCTGTGTGATGTAGGGCGTTTAAGGAAGTGCCGGCGCCGCTGGCGTATATGAGCGTGGGGAATGCGGCATCGGGACCTTCGAGTTCTAAGAGGGGCTGTAGTTCCGGGGGACGATGCGTTTGCCATGTGCAGAGCTCGGTTAGGAGGGCTTTCCATTTCATAGTGCGAGATGCAGATATGCCTACTGAGGTCGGAATGGCAGATGGAGATGTCGTGGCAGCGAAGTGGTTTTCTGGTTCTGGGGCTGGGAGGCAGAAGTTCATGACGTCGGCGAGAAGACCGAGGCAATGCAGAGATGCACCTAGAGGTTTCTGAGGTGGGTCAATGATTGACTCGTGGCTGTTTGGAGGGCTTAGTATCTGGCGTATAGGTCCGGATATTGCAATTGAAGCAGTCTGGTTCATGAGAGAGTATGCAATTTCTTTCCTTAGGGAGGTTGAATTAGCTAATGGACAAGTAAGGCACTATAAGTAAGGAAAGAAAGAACAGGCACCGCGAAGAATAAATAGATCATCCACCGACAGTCTTGACGTACCTAGTCTTGCGATCAAAACAAGCATACTAATCCACATTGACCGTTCATCCGCATCAACGAACTTGTATTTCATCAAGCTAGTCGGGATCCCACCCCCATCAAAGCTAGCCTCCCAAGACTCCGGAACCGCCTGGACGAAAAGCAACGTCCGTACCAGCACGAAGCTAACCATAAGTCTCAAAGCGGAGAATGGAGATTTCGCGTCCAGCGGACTGGACATGGCCTGAAGGTGAAGAGGGCCGACGCCACGGCGCCTCACCGTGTTTAGTGGGCGACCTGAGGAGGCTGCTGAGAGATGCAGGATCCCTTCTAGCACGCAGGGTGAGTCCATGGCTAGTCGGGTCACGAGATGGCGGAATGGTTGGCTGGGGTCGTAAACGTCTAACTGTGTAATGGGACGGGTGGAGAGTTAGAACAGGCGGTTCTAGGATGGTGGGGTGGGGATGGAGACTTACCCAAGGGGCGACATGATGGCTGTAGTATTTCAGAAGGATGACTTCCTCGTCTGATAACGAACTACGTCCCACGAGAGGCCAACTGTTGTCCCACCTGTTTGGATCTCGGGGTGGGTTACGCGATGGGCCCTGACAACTCAAGTCCACTGTGTTCTCCAACTCATTTTTTGCAAGACTCCCAATATCCTTCCGTAAAGGGTGACTGCCATCTTCCAGAACCTGTACTATCGAATTCTCTACAGGTCTAGTTTCTAGGACTATTCCATGACCAACGCGCTGGTCCTGGAATTGGCTAGGGTACTCGGTATTCATAAAAGTAGGAGGTGAACCATCATTTCTGCTTCGAGCAGAGGAGTCATCGTTAACGACAAACTGAAGACCGGGACATCATGTCAGCCCTTCTAGCAGAGGTCACGCTACCCAGTCAAACAGTATGATCGACATACCTCCAAAACAGGACACTCGCGAGCGGTGGAAGAAAAAGATGCTCTCGACGTGACAGCAGATGATGTCTGGCTATTTTTATCCAGAAAAGATATATGCGTAATGTACTTGCAAACAGCACCAGCATCAGCGCAACGCCTGCATTTTGGTTTTTCTTCGTCGCCTACAACACATCAGCTGTTGTCTAATTATGAGGTATTGATATGATATGATATTATTGCCACTCGACAAACGACTCAACTCACATTTGCGGTGTTGGGCACGGCATCGTTCGCAGCCGGTTCGGGCACGTTTATGTCGTTGCTTCAGACTTCGAGGAAGCTTGGCCCCTGCATCGCCAGAACCAGCAGCTGCAGATGTCCCCGACATTACGATTATTTTTGTACTCGTAAAGACGACGCATTGGGAATTTGTGGGCAACTTGGTCTACTTACTGTAGGAGGTTATTTCTCGGTTTCCATCCGATAATTAGTATGTATTGTCAACATGGTAAGATCTAATTGGACATCTGTTCCGGTTCGGCCTCTGCGGGTAAAAGGAGGGGGAGAAGTGCTTGGTAAGCAGAATGCGGATCCCGCTGCCTATCCTGACGTATATGCGGTTCGCGTTGTCGTGTTGGGCCATGTGGGTCCCTTAACCGCATCTGCTTTAAAATCGTACCAAACTCATTCATACCACTGACTACATTTGTACAAGTTGACAAATGTGATACCAATCGTTCTCTCAATATGTTGCTATTACCCGCTAGTACGATCCAAATAAGCCAGGCTGTCTGGGATGACAGTCTTGTCGTGATGTCAATACGTGTTTGGTCGTGGTTATAAAAGGAACGAGCTGTTCCCTTGATTGAAACCCACCAATTGCGAATCCCGTGTCCCATCTCCTTTATATATTTGGAATTTTGCATTGTATATCATATCATATCATGTCATATTACATGATGACCACTGTACCAAAAACCATGAAGGCATGGATTGCCATTCACGCAGGTCCACCGCAAGAAGTCCTCAAACTGAAGACCAACTGGCCGACTCCAGGGCCGCCCATAGCAGGAGAAATCACAATCAGAATTTCCTACGCAGCGCTCAATCCTGGGGATGCCAAAATCATGTCGGCGAAGATCTCATGCAAGAGCAATAGTATCCGCGGCATGGATTTCGTCGGGGAAGTCGTGCAAGTAGGGCCCCCATCTACATCCACATCCACAGCGCCCTCGAACATACACATCGGGATGATCGTCGCGGGCACCGTGCCGAGCATGAAGCTCATGCGTGGCGTGGGCACGCTGGCTCAGTACATAGTGCTCCCGGCGGACGCGGTTGTGGAGAAGCCTGCCGGCCTGGAAGAGCGCGATGCGGCTGGGCTGTTGGGAGTAGTGGGCCAGACGAACGTGGTGATGCTGCGCGCTGCCGAGTTGCGGAAGGGTCATAGGGTGTTGGTCAATGGTGCGAGTGGTGGCGTGGGATCTGTTTCCGTGCAGGTGCTGAGCGGGATGGGCATGCATGTTACGGGGGTCTGCTCAGCGAGGAACGAGGCGCTGGTGAGGAGGCTGGGTGCTGAAGAGGTGAGTTGGTCCGTCATGAGAGCATTGGCGCCTGATTCTCCATCACGAATCCCAATTCAACGGTGTGGTGATTTAACTTCTCGCAGGTTGTAGACTACACCGCTCACGAATCACTATGCGATTTCCTCTCTTCCACATCCACAAAACCTGGAAATACCCGCTTTGATGCAATCTTCGACTGCATAGGCAACGACGAACTCTACCACGGTTCTCCCTCATATCTAAAGCCCGACGGCCGATACATCGCCATCGAAGCCGGTCCATACGGGATATTTAAGCTAAACAACTGGCTACCCACCATACTCGGAGGCACGCCACGGATGATTAAAAATGTCTTCAGCCGGCCAGATCCTGCTTCAGCTCAAGAAGTTGTGAAGTGGTTCGAAGACGGATTGATCAAGGAGATTCCTGTCGACTCGATGTTTGATATGGATGGCGTTTTGCAGGTAAATTAAACACGCTTACTCGGAATGGAAATGAGAGGGCTATTGCTAATTAATGACTTTCTGGAATCAAGGCTTTCGAACGGTTGGAGACCGGGAGAGCAGTCGGCAAGATTATTATAAGGATACAATACAGCATTCCTACCGTGGTCCTAGAGTAACCGGATGACTTTCTGGAAAAGGCCGTGGTACAGTAAGTAGAGATGGATTTGAAGTGATCTAGAAACCGACGATGAAACGCATGGTTAAAACCTAAGCGCGTGCATATTTCGTGTAATAAGAACATAACAGACAAATGTGATTTTCCATGCAATCCAACAAAACGTTACCTTCTTTCGAATACAATGCTGGTAATGCTTATGATATGATTTGCGCAAAAAGTCCTAGAAGATGCGGTGGGTCTTACAGTATCTGAGGCCTTGTCTTGTCTCTATTCAGCTTCATGTTGCTACTGGACAGCGGAATACTCGCAAGGACTTCCTCCGATGTGAAACGTGAGTGCAGAGTCAAGTGATATGATATGAGTGATCGACGGATTTGCACCTGCAGTTATCCAAACATGTCGGCCTTGAGATTAGGCTGGTACACAGGCAGTGGTTGAGACGAACATTGAGAGTGGATTTGTTTCGCATTAAAACATCATCTTATTCAGCCTGTGCTGTGGAATGGACCAGATGAAACCCATTTAATATTTCTCATGATTTGGCCTTGCCAAGGCAAGAGAGCGCGACGACTAGACGAAGCGGGGCTTCCGTCTATTTTGTATTGCATCTTTGAAGGATGCTGGGGCTTA